TCCAAAAGCATTCTACAATTTTGGCCCAATATCTCTCTATCTGTTGCTTAGTACATGATTTTGAGGCTATAACATTTTGTTTAAGATCTGTAGGAAGCATTGAAATTATTTTCGGGTCATTCCATGTCAGAGCTTCCGGCCGAAAAATCCGAAGGTGTATGAGTAGCCGTGTCTGAGAATCCCTGTCTAAGGCCTATTCTGAAGCTGATTTCATCTATACGCCTAACAGGCAACTCATATAGGATTTTCTAGGTGATAGTTTAGGGTCTTGTGGTAACCTCTTCATGGCTATTTAGCCTGCTTGATGCACCGTTAAGAATTACATATAAATCATGCGCAAAATTGATGCCACTAAGAAATCATTCGGCAGTTTTGTCCCAATATCTCTCTATCTGTTGCTTGGGATGCTATTTTGAGGCTGTAATATTTCATTTAAGACCTGTAAGAAGCATTAAATTATTTTTGGGCCATTCCATGCCCAATGTTCTGGGCCCAAAAATGCAAAGGTGCACACCCTTTGGTCTAAGAAGCCATTTATGAAGTCCTGTTCTGGCGTCAATTTCTTCTAGATGCCTAATGGTCAGCCCGTATAGGGTCTTCTAGGCAATTATTTGGGGTCTTATGGTCAGCTCGACATGACTATCTCACCTACTCGATGCATCATTGAGAATTGCATATGGCATAAAAATTCATGTGCAAAATCGGTGCCACTCAGGACGCATTCTACAGTTTTGCCCAATATCTCTCTATCTGTTGCTTGGCACGCCATTTTAAGGCCTAACATTTCATCTAAAACCTGTAGTAAGCATTCAAAGCACTTTCGCTGTATTCTGTGCTGGAGCTTTCGAGCACAAAAATCCAAAGGTGTATCCTTTTAGTCTAAAAAGTCCTTTATGAACGCCTGCTCGGGAGCTAATATTGTCTATATGCCTGATGGACAGCTCATATAGGGTCTTCTAAGTGATAGTTTTGGGTCTCGTGGTAACCTGGCATGCCTATCTTACCTGCTCAATGCGTCTTTAAGAGTCGTATACACCATATAAATTCATGCGCAAAATTGGTGCCACTCAGGAAGCATTCGGCAGTTTTGGCCCAATATCTCTCTATCTATTGCTTGGCATGCTATTCTGAGGCCATAAAATTTCACCTAAGATCTATAGTAAGCATTGAAATCATTTTTGAGTCATTCCGTACCGGAGCTTCCGAGCCCAAAAATCCAAAGGATACCCCTTTGGTCTAAGAAGCCTTATATGGGGGCTTGTTCCGGAGCTAATATCTTCTGAACGCCAGATGGGCAGCTCATACATGCAATAGTTTAGGGTCTCCTTATCAACCCAGCATGCCTATTTCACCTACTTGATGAGTTATTAAGAATTGCATATGTCATATAAATTCATGCGCAAAACTGATGCCACTCCTGAAGTATTCAGCAATTTTGGCCCAATATCTATCTATCTGTTGCTTGGCATGCCATTTTGAGATCATAATATTCCATCTATTGACTTGTAGGAAGCATTGAAACATTTTTGGGTTATTCTGTGTCAGTGCTTTTGGGCCCAAATATCCAAAGGTACACCCCTTTTGTCTAAGAAGCCCTATATAAATGCTAATTCCGGAGCTGATATCTTCTATATGCCTGAGGGGCAACTTGCATCAGGTCTTCTGTGTGATAGTTTGGTGTCTCATGATTAGCTCGGCATGGCTATCTCACATGTTTGATGCGTCATTAAGAATTGCATAAGCAATATAAATTCATCTGCAAAATCAATGCCACTCTGGAAGCATTCGGTAGTTTTGGCCCAATATCTCTATATCTGTTACTTGGCACTCAAATTCAATACCATAATAGTTTGTCTAAAACCTATAGGACGCATTGAAATCATTTTTAGGTCATTCCTCGTCGGAGCTTCCGACCCCAAAAATTCAAAATTCCCTTTGGTATAAGAAGCCCTATATGAATGTTGTTCCAGGAGCTGATATCATTTTACGCCTGATAGGCAGCTCATATAGGGTCTTCTAGGCGATAGTTTGGGGTCTCATGGTTAGCTTGGCATGCCTATCTCACCTACTCGATGCATTATTAAGATTTGCATATGCCATATATAAATTCATGCGCAAAATCGGTGCCACTCTAAAAGCATTCGGTAGTTTTGGCATAATATCCCTCTATCTGTTGCTTGGCATGCCATTTTGAGACCATAATATTTTGTCCAAGACCTATACGAAGTATTGAAATCATTTTTGGGCTATTCCGTGTCGGAGCTTCCGGGCTCAAAAATCCAAAGGTATACCCCTTTGGTCTAAGAAGTGCAGTATGAAGGCCAGTTTCGGAGCCTATATCATCTGTACGCCTGACGGGCAACTCGCATAGGTTCTTCTAGGTGATAGTTTGGGGTCTCGTGGTCAACCCGACATGCATATCTCGCCTGCTTGATGCGTCATTAAGAATTGCATATGCCAGATAAGTTCATGCGCAAAATCGGTGCCACTCTGAAACCATTGGGCAATTTTAACCCAATATCCCTCTGTCTATTTCTTGGCACACCATTTTGAGACCATAATATTTCATAATTGACCTATAGGAAGCATTAAAATCATTTTCAGGTTATTCTGTACTGGAGCTCCCACGCCAAAAATCCAAAGGTACCCCTTTGGTCTAAGAAGCCCTGTATGAAGGCCTGTTCTGGAGCCGATATCTTCTGTATGTCTGACGGGCAGCTCATATAGGGTCTTCTAGGCGATAGTTTGGGAACTCATAGTCAGCCCGGCATGTCTATCTTGCCTGATCAATGCATCATTAAGAATTGCATAAGCAATATAAATTCATGCGAAGAATCGGTGTCACTCTGAAAGTATTCGGTAGTTTTGGCCCAATATCTCTATATATGTTGCTTGGCATGTCATTTCGAGGTTATAATATTTCGGCTAAGACCTGAAGCAAGCATTGAAATCTTTTTTGGGTCATTTTGTGACGGAGCTTCCACGTCCAAAAATTCAAAGGTATACCCCTTTGGTTTAAGAAGTCTTGTATGAAGGCCATTAATTATGTTATACAAAGTTAGTATTTATAAAGGGGGTATAGAATTGTTCATACCTACGTAGAAGAACTATTCTCTTATCTCTCAGGTCAACTCTTTATTATGGTATCATATCTTCTTCAAGGTACTTGTTGCAGATTTATTTTATTGTATTTATAAATTAGGTTATATTATGTCATGGGAAAAGAGGGGATAAGGAGAACCACTCGCAGTTGACTATTAAAGAACCTTTTTTTTTTTTCCTTCTTCTAAATTGCTTATGAAAGTTTGTTTTTATAAATATTGCTTAATATGAATATGAGATAAGAAGTTAATGACATATAGCTGAACCCAAAAGAGGTGAAGACACACCAAGTCAGATAAATTCAAGCTCTAAAGAAACCTAGCTCGGATTTAAGCAGTCCACACGTTTGAGCTTTAGCAGTTACCGAGTCCAAACTCAAGTAGTCCACACGTTTGAGCTTTAGCAACTACCGGTCCAAACTTAAGCAGTCCACCCGTTCGAATTTAAGCAGCAGTCCACCCGTTCGAGTTTACGTAGCTCACCCAGTCCAGACTTAAGCAATTCACAAGTTCGAGGTTAAGCAGCTCACCTACAACACTTAATCAAATTATAATATGTTTTGGACATAAATGACTAAATAATTATAGGGGGATTACTTATAATATATAATAATAAAATATATAAAAGAGTTCGAATTTAGGCAAGCAGTCCACCGTTCGAGGTTTACCGTAGCTCACTCCAGTCCGAGACTTAAGCAATTCCACAGTTCGAGGTTTGCAGCCAGCCTACATACACTTATCAAATTAAATATATGTTTTGGACATAAATGACTAAATAATTATAGGGGAATTACTTATAATATATAACTAATAAAATATATAAAAGAATAATATATATATATATATATATATAATTTATATATAATATATATATATATATATATATATTTTGAAGGTTAAAGTCTAATTAACAAAATAAAGTAGGAATTTCCACATATATTTTGAAGGTTAAAGTCTAATTAACAAATAAAGTAGGATTTCCACTCTTCTTATCTAAAAATAATTATTTCTCTTCCCTATCAATTCTAGAAAAAGGGCTAATTCAAAAATCTGGATAGTTAACACTACTCACACAGCTAACAATAACAGCAAACAACTAAATACTAATAAAATGGCTAATAGCTACTAAAACAGTTAACAATTATCAAAACAGCTAATTTTGCGGAACGGATCCAAACTCTTCATAAAATTTCAACTGCAATTCTGCAGGCTATATCTGTAGCTTTTAAAAAACGAGATATCAAAACATATTTAATTAATACTTAAAAAAGGAGAGATATAAATAATTCTGCATTGATTCTCACGAACATTTAAATAGCTTGAGTTAAGTCTAACTCAAAGTAATGTGTAATTTCATTGGAAGTTTTTTTAACTCAAGGATATATGTGTAATTTCATTGAAAGTTTTTTTATATTTACAATTTCCTTTTAATTGTAATTGAGATACTAGTGCAAAATTGCATAGAAAAATTTAATAGAGAGATTGCAAAACCTCTAAGTATTCTAATATATTAACCCAAAATAACATACTATTTTAAGATTTTTAAAAAAATAAACATTCCACTTTTTTCGAAATACCAATTATATCCTTATTTCGTCCCAAGATACTAAATATATCCTTATTTTATTAATATATCCTTATTTTATTTTTGTCTTCGAATCTGCCCCATCCCAATCAAATAAAAAAATCGAATTTAGTTCCTCTTCTATTTGCGAACCAAATATAGGAATAAAGATTTTCATTCTACACCCGATTTCGTTATTGATTCTATTTCATTTTGTATATCAAACGTATACCAAGAGTAATAGATTATCCTTTGTGTCGCCTCCATGACAGTTTATTTCAAACTTTTTCATTTTGTATTGCTGTCCAAAAGCTAAAAAGAAAACAGAAGAAAGATTCAGAAAAGCATAAATAGTCTTATTTTGCATAATGAAATATCATTTAGAGGGCCCGCACTTGCCAATAACATCTCTTTAAACTGAAGTGAAAGCCTTAAGGTACATGTATTTCATTTCATATTATATATGCTTAAGGATTGGATAGAATGTTAGAAGGATTAATATAATTTTGCCTATCGTGGCATGCTCCTCCAAATTGGAATACCATACTAGCTTATCTTTCATCTACCTTTTACCACTTGGTCGATTGGCTACGTAATTTCTCAAAGAAGGGGACTGCGTTAGACCATCGGGAGCTACAGTTGTATTTTGAGTTCCATTCTTCTGCTGCATTCTTCTCCTTGCTATGTAACCTCTTATCCAAGGCGTGACATCTTCACTTATCTTGATCATAATAAAAAAGATTATGCGGTAGACGACAATCATGCTGAAGATGACACTTAGGTCCACCCATTTTGATCTGTGCACATCAATCTGGAATATATTTTCCAGGATGTATTCTCCAGGAATCTTGGGAAGATCTGGCGTCTGGTTGTCGAACATCAAGCCTCTTAAATCATTCTGATACTGCCCCTGGAAAATACATAAAAATATGCTTCAGCCATTGATGAATAATGAAAGGTAGAAGCATGCATAAGGATATATATAGTATTAGCTTACCTGTAGAGCCCAGAAATGGAAACTAATATATGACATCGGATAGCGCCAAACAGGTTTTGGTATGTCATTCGGAAGCCTAAAGTATCCAGAGACTAGCATGAATATTCCCTGACATCACAGTTGAACAAAAATTCATAAGTTACTCATCTATAGATCTTGTTAATTGGTACATTTAACATATTGTATATCATCAACAAACCTGAATTCCAGCTCCGATGATGATACCCATGAGGAAGTTGGGGACAATGCTAGCTATGGCCATCATCAAGCTCTCAACCACGGTGACACTTGCATAAAGGCACAACACGAAGAATAAATAATGTTCGAAACCTGGGTGAAGGCGGACCATAAAGTAACAAATGGTTCCAGAGATAAAAGTGATCATTATCAGGAATGGCATTGCAGAGATTGTGTTGCTAATCACAAAAGAAGTCACACCATAGTGGCCATTCAGCCTCTCTCTTTGGAACACCTTCAAATCAAAATGCAAATAGAGAAATCCTGATTATTACTTTTCTTGGTAAATTTATGTATGTGGGTACCTCATACAAGAAGATAAAGTAACTACCTTCATATCTTCTACAAAAGAAGGAAATCCACCAATTGACATGAAAGTGACAAAACCAAAGACAAAGGAGGCACATGAACCTCTCGCCTGTCACAGATGGAAGGGAAAAAATAGTTAAAATCTCTACTGAATGCACACAGGTCTCCTGGGTCTCATCAGTTCGGTTAATTATTTCTTTTTCCTTGAAAAAAGCAAACTAGTTCTCCAACTAGTATTCTGTTGGGAAAAAAAAAAAAAAAAAAAGTTCTACAGTTCCTTTTACAAGTTACTTGTGCTGTTATTAGTAATGCGTTAGAGTGTAACGTTCTTATGTTCTTGAAAGGAGTGTCAAAAGAAGTGCGGTGCGCTTTTTATCCAACAATTTAACGTTCATATTCTGCTTATAACGAAAATTAACTTAAGATAGCAAATTGGCGACAGAGAAAAGTACCAGGATTGAATTGTAACCTGTGCCGACATTCAAGTAGATAGTTCCAATGCAGATGGTGACCACAATGTAAATCACAAGCCTGAGCCAGTAATAGCCAAAGTCCCTTGACATATTAATGAATGAACGTTTGGTTAGAATAAAGGCCTGCAACAGGAAACTAGCCTGACTTCCTCCTGAATCTAGCACAGTTCCTTTCTGTAACACATGGTGAAGCAATATATCATAATCAATTGTAACGGACATAAAGAAATGATACTAATCAAAAAGCATGATCGATCATAAAGAATAGAAGACTACAAATAAATGAATAATAATTGAGCATAAATGATACTTACAACTTTAGATATCTCCTCAACTTTTTCTCTTGCAGCATAATAGTACTGAGAAGAACGGTAGTAGTCAACAAGAGTTCGTATGGCTTCAGCTGTTGTTATCTTCTCCAAAGGATCTTCACTTGACTCAAACTGAATAGAAAGACCAAGTCAAGTTTTAACGAGAATCAGGTTATTCTTGAACAGCGTGAGAGAATTCTAATATAAAAACATTAATAGCCTGTCCATACTAATAGCAAGTACTCAATCAGGAAGCTAAAATGAATCAAACTACCAGATTCATCATGCATATTCTTCCCTTATACTAACTCCTGTTTATATTATAATTTCAAATTCCAATAGAAATAGATGACAAGAAGCAGTGATACCCGCAGTTTCATGGACCCCTTCAAAGTAGCCTTTACTTTGTCAAAGTCAGAATTGATGCATCTAAGAAAATGATCAGAGGGGTTTCTCAGGGCAGGGCAAGGAAAGCCAGCTTGTGCAAAGAACTGCCAACACCAATTAAAATGTTTAGTTTCTAAGTAAGTGAATCGATAATATAATAGCAGAGACGCCTTACCTCGTATGCTTCTGAAGCCTGACCAAAATAAACAGTTTTGCCTCCTGAAAGCAAGTACAGTCTATCAAAGAGCTCAAACACTTCACTACTTGGCTGGTGAATTGAAGCTATGACAGTCCTTCCATCTCTAGACAGACCACGTAATGTCTGTGTTACAAAGAAAGCTGAAGCACTGGCCACACATATCGAATAGAAGGTTAGAGCCAGCAACAGCCCATGAAAAGATTAAATATTCAAATAGCAACAGGAAGATGGATCCAACTAAGAGCATGTAATTAACCTGTCAAGTCCGCTTGTTGGTTCATCAAGAAACAGCAATCTAGGCCTCATAAGGATTTCAAGAGCAATGCTGACTCTTCGTTTTTCTCCTCCACTAATCCCACGCAAATGCCAATTTCCGATAACTGTATCTGCACAGTCTTGAAGACCCATCTCTATTATGGTACTCTCAACCAACGCCCGCTTCTCCGACCGAGGCATCTTATCAGGGAGACGTAGTCGAGCCGAATACCAGATTGTTTCCCTCACCGTTAGAGTACCGATCAAGTTGTCATCTTGTGTCACATAGGCCTATGTATGTTTGTACAAAATCAGTCCGAATTACAGAACAGAGGGGACTCTCCTAAGTTCTAAGTTTTAAGCTCCAAGTCAAACAAGCAGAGCATATAATAGGATTAGAAGATGTTTCCGAAAGCATATACAAACTAATCTTTGCGACCATTAAGGCAAGGAAGGATCAATTAATAAATTTAAAAAAAACAAAACAAACAAACAACTCACTGCCGCTCCGAAAGAGAGCTTGGTTTTACGACCATTAAGCAGAATGGTCCCCGAAAGGAAAGCATTGGCAGCAAGGCGGCTAGAGAGAGCATCAAGCAGAGTGGATTTGCCAGAACCAGATGGACCCATGAGCGCCGTGATAGTTCCTGGTTCAGCATAACCAGTGAGACCCTCCAAAACATTTTGTGTCTCCCCATTGCTGAGGCTCACCATCACCGTTAGATCCTTCCATGTAAGCCTAGCCGAAACATCCCCTACAAATTCTGTGCTTGCCTTTTCTCTCCAAAGAGTCTCGCTTAGAGGACTCAAACCCCCAACCACCATCCCATTTCCTGCCGGTTTGCTTGACTCTATCTCCATCATTACGTGATTAGCTGAATTCTTCATCCTAATTAAATTTTTGAAGCTTAAATCTTGATTGTAAAACAACCATTCAAGGAGCTATAACAGAGATGAAAAGTTATATATGCAAGCGAGAGAGAGACAGTAGGCGAGAAAGTTGTGAGGACGGAGAAACGAGTAATGGATGAGTTGACCAAGTGAACATTAGGTTAAGAACAAACCCATGCAGAAAAAGCCTCAACACAATTTGAGTTGGCAAACCGACCACCGGATGCGCAATTCTCTATTCTTCTACTGCTGATGTTTCTGCTCCTACTCCATATTCAACGTCTAAACAACCAATATAGAAGAAGGAAAGGAAAAAAAATATCAAGAGACATGAAATTACACCTTTCTCATTTCTCATCCATTAAATGGGTTCCGGGGGTTGTTGGTAGCGGCATTTAATACAAGACCGACCCTCATTAAACTTACGGCTCCATCAAGTTTTTGACACCACACCAGCGCCATCGGCAACTGTTGCTTTGACAGTTGACTTGACATATACATTTAACAAGCTTGCTTCAGCTATTTGAATTTTTATTACTACTTAAGCAATCAGATGAATTTCACGCGCAGTGTAAATAAGCATTGAATTTGAACAGTATTGGTAAAACGAAAAAAACAGTTGAGCAGCTTCTCATCTTTGCACATGCAAAGGAAGGAAAGGAATGTACACACAGATACCTAATAGCCAACTGGATAATTAATGCAAGTAGTTTGGGATAGGGAATGACTTGTCATACCACCCACACCTGCCCCAAGTTCCCTAACCCTTTCACCACACCATGTTCTATCTGTCTAGAAGATAAGCCATTATAGATGAGATGTAAGTTTCTTATATTCGATTCCTATATATATCTTTAGAAGAAAATAGCTCATTTTGCCTCCCAGATTTGGCTTACATATCCAATTTGCCAGATTTCAACTTTATAAATTATAATCAATTTACTCCATTAGTTTATCAAAAATTATTGAATTGCCCTTTGAATCTTCTGCGTGCTTTACACGCGGTCACCACAGCAAAAAGAAAGAATCTATGAACTAATTTTTTATTAATACCAATGATTAAAACAGCTTCAACCCTTAAATCGCTAAAAACATAAAATAAATCATCTAATCACAAATTCCAAATTAAAGAGAAAATACGAGAAAGTGAGCCTGAAAGCCTGAGCTTCGGTTTTCGACTATCATCCTCAGTCTCCTCATGAAACTATGGAATTCACTGCCAGATTATTAATATGAGGAGGCGATTCACTATTGTGGATGTGGCTTGAAGGTTCCGTTTTGGGTTTTCTAAGAGTGAGAGAATCCAGGTAAAATATTCTATTCTCATAGATTCATAAAAGTAAAATGGATTTGTAACTTTTATTTTGGAATGAAGCAGAATTAAAAAAAAAAAAAGAAACTCTCCATATATGTTATGTTCTAACTTGTTGCGATGGAGTGCTCAGATGAGCTGCTTTATACTTTGTTACTCACATGCTGAGAAGAAATAAATTCTTTTACACAGTTAACCTTATAAAATTATGTACAATTTGACATTTTTAGGCAAATTAATAGAGTAAATTTACTATAAAATTAAAATCTGGCAGAATGAGCTAAATTCAAGTTGCATAATGAGCTATTTTCCTGTTTAGAACAACATGAAAGAAAGCGCTTCCTTACGTCACTTTAGAACTTCACCTGATAACATGGAGATATAATTTGAAATTAGGTCGATGGTTATTTTCTTTCTATTGTTATTATTTTTCATTTTTTCTTGAGAAAATTAAGGAATATCTATTAATTTTTTCAATTTTATCTTTAATAATATTTTATCTTTAAATATTATTTTATAATTTATTTTGTATTATTATTTTTAATAATTATTATGAATTATAAAATTTGTTATGAACAACAATCAAACTACTTAATATAATCCAACAATGCAAATATCAGTATGATTTGTAATAAAGAAAAGTATATCATTGTTTGCAATGATACAACATTATAAATCTACAGCGTTTTAATGAAGTTTCATTTAATATAATATTATGTTTCCTCTCAATTGTAACCCTACTCAAATTTATTGATTATTGATGTATTTACTAAACTTTTATATAATTTACTTGTAATTTAATAAATTCAAATTTAAAAATTACTAATGAACGGAAGACTTTGATTTTCTTTTTCCTTTTAAAAATATTTTTTTGCCAAAAACAGAAAATAGGCTAAAAGTATATTTTGAATATATTATTATGAACTTCACTAAAAACTTATTCTTGTAATATACAAACCAATCAAACTACGTCTAATATTAGATCCAACAATGTCAAATATTCGAGTACATCATAACGCAACAGTTATTCATCATTGTTTGCAATGAACCAACATTATAAATGCTACAGCGTTTTAATGGAAGTTTCAGTTTAATATAATATTATGTTTTCCTCTCAATTGTAACCCGTACTCAAATTTATTGCATATTTGATGCTATTTACTAAACTTTTATATAAGTTTACTTGTAATTTAATAAATTAAATTCAAATTTAAAAATTACTAATGAACGGAAGACTTTGATTTTCTTTTTCCTTTTAAAAATATTTTTTTGCCAAAAACAGAAAATAGGCTAAAAGAATAAAAAAAAATATAGTTTTGATCTTATTAATTAGAAACAATTTAATTAAACTAAAACATGGTTGTAAAAAAATTACGACGAAATCAAAATATTATCTCAAACTTGCCATACAACTCTTTTTTTTTATTCATGAATTAATTTTTAATCCATGCAAGATTATAAAAGTATTGATAATTTACGTAACACTATCATTTTCATTATTATCATGCACGACCAAATTATTGTAAAAGCCTCTAAAAAATAATTAAATATGTTTAATGGGAATCATTCAACGTGTATGTCCTCTTCTTAGCATAAATTGTTAGCCATTTGATAAATGTAAAAATTTTAATCAATAAATTAATATGCCATGATTTAAATTTCAATTGAGATGAATTTCACTTGATTGAGAAAGAAAATGAAAAGAAGAATCATTTGTGTTGTATTCAAATTAACGGTTTTATGATAATGTACTTAATTATCTATAAATAGTAATTATCTATGTATATTTATTATATATATATTCAAAATAATTATAAATAAAATTATATTAAAAGTGGGTCCCACTCATTCTTCTTAGATTTCTTAATCTTCTCCTGACTCGTCTAGCTCAAGACGTCTGCCTAGGATCAGTCTTTCCATAAAGGCGTATGCATCTAGGATCAATCTGCCTCGCTCAGGATGAAGCTTTTAGGATCAATCTTTCCATACAGACACTCAGGTTCACCGGTGGGCTCATAGGTGTCGCATGGGCGAGTGTCGGTGGTAAGCACCAGACTCGAGTTGGCTCGGTACTCACACTGCTTAAATCAGGCGTATGCATCCGCACCACCACCTAGTTGTGCCATCAAATTTTCTGGCACTCAAAACCCTAAGTTGCTAGTTGTGCCATTCAATTTTCTGGCACTCAAAACCCTAAGTTTGAACAAAAAAAAAAAAAAAAATTAAATAACAATAAAAAGTTCACAAAAGTCTAGCGGTTAAAAAAAAAAAAAAAAAAAAAAAAAAAAAAAAAAAAAAAAAAAAAAAAAAAAAGCTAGAGGAAAACCGAATGAACCTGTTATCTAAGATTTCATATGACCTATTTACCGGAACTTATGTTAAATCTAAACTAACAAAAACAACATGCAAAGATACAAAAAATGAAACAAAGTACCTACAGCAGCCAAAAAATCTCCCATGTGAAAGTATGAAGGAAAATTTAAATGAAAAAATATAGAAGTTGAAGAAAACTAACTTCTATTCAACATACCTTTGAGGTAGAAACATACGTTCAATTCAACTATATATATAGTTAGACTTTAGATTCAAGAATGTAAAGATATGGTTTAGCTGAATTAAATTAGATTTTAAAAAAATAAGGTTTTAGTTGTATTAAATTACGTTTTAAAAGTTATCAATTATTTTTACTACATATTAAATACTAAATTATAAAAAATAATTATATTGGTCAATCAAAACACATAATATAAGGAAAAAAATTAAAATTTTCTTAAAAAACGAAAAATGAAATGCAGAAAGAGAACACTTTGAAATTTTCTTTTGTTTCAGCTTTCATATATATATATATTACCAAATGCCTATTGTCTATAATTTCTTAAAATCAATTTTATCACATCTCTCTCTTAATATTTGTGGCATATTAATGAAAAGAGAATTATTAAGATTCAAGTAATCAAATAAGATAAAAAGTAATTTAATTAAATTAAGAAGTAATTTATTATAATTCATGTTACATAAATTTTCACAGGTATTTTAGTTATATATATATATATAAAAGAAAGATAATACTCTTTTGTATCTAAAGACATTTATCAAAAACATATTTGGCAAATAAAAATGGTAAAATACACTTGTGTCCCTAATTAAATTATAACTTAATTAATACTTTCCTATCTTTATTTTTAAGAAATTATTAAGGTACTTTTTAAATTTGCTTAAATTCATTATACTATGTCCTTCTATAAAAGAAAAAATAAATAGTATTTTTCATCAAGAAGCGATTATATTCTATCTAAACAGCGTCTTTAATTAACAGTAAAATGTCGATTTTTTAGATAAAAAGACCTAATAGTAAGTTTAAGCAAAAGTTATGGACGTTATAATAATTTTTTTAAAAATAAAGGAAGGAAGTGTTAATTATAATGTAATTAGGGACCAACGTATATTTTACTCAATCAAAAATTACACTGATGAAAAATGAAAAGGGCAAAAGAGAGAAGCCAAAATCTATTTTAGGATGTATATCTATAGTAATAATGATATTTTTATATTAATTAATTAATTAATATATAAAAGTAGAAATAGGGAACGCAATATTGAGATCGATAGAAATAATGTACTAAATTTATGGATTAAAATATTATCTTAAAGGAATTTAATTTAATTAGTTAAAAGTTAAAAGTAATTTATTTTGATTAATTATATTATATTTTTATTTAAATTTAAATTATATTGACTAAAAATAAAATAAAAATTGTTATTTTTGTGTAATTAATCTTAATTTGATTAATTATATTAGTTTTCCATTTAAAAATTCAAATAAAAATAAAATAATAAATTATTTCAAATATATTAGTAAATAAGTATATGTAAAGAACTGATTTCAAAAAAAAAAAAAAAAAAGTAATAAAGATATGTAAAGAACTGATTTTCAAAAAAAAAAAAAAAATGTATGAAAAAAAAAAAAAAAAAGAGTATGTAAAGAACTAAATTTAAATACAAAAACTAATTAGGGGAGTGTTGTAATATAACTAGTTATAATAATTTGATATATTAAAAGAACTACTTGGAAAATTTTGTAATATAATAACAAGTATATATAATGCAAGTCATATTATTTATCATGGTTAAGAAGTTCTGCCTTATCATAATTTGGAATTTGAATTCTATTGTGGAAGTTTACCCAACCATACTATATATATATTGTTGCCAAAAATCAAGGGTTTACTTGATTTTTCTGTCAATAATTTTTTGCTCTCAATGTAAGGATATATACGTTTGAAAACTCATCTCTTTATTATTGTTAAATCAATTTTTTCCTTATTCTTGAAATATTAATTTTAATTTATGATATATTTTTCTAAAAGAATTTATCATAAAAGCATACAACTATTAGAATTTATCATGAATTATATAACTATTATCTCATTTATATTTTTCAAGTTTTTTATATCCATAAAACATAAAAATTAAGGTAAAAATTTATAATTTTTTTTAATAAATATTTTGATTAAATTTTTATTCTAATAAATTTTATCTTATGTTTTTTAAATTAATTTGAATAGTTGTACTACAAAGCAAAATATTAAATAAATAATATTTTTACAATTTTATTTCTTTATTGTAAAAGTATCTCTAATTATTTTTTTTGAAAATATCTCTAATAATTTGTTATTATAATCAAAACGACAAACATATGTTTTATTATTAGTAATTTTCTTTGTCTTTTTTTTTTTTTTTTTTTTCTTTTTTTTTTTTTTTGATAGCCTATGTTTTAGTTGTATGTTCACGTATTTTATGTAAGTAAAAACCCTTTTTTTTTTTTTTTTTTTGATAGCCTATGTTTTAGTTGTTATGTCACGTATTTTATGTAAGTAAAAACCCATAAATAAGAAGAATAAATTTTTGCCAATTAGGTGATAGTTTAATTGGTCTTCTCACTTGTTTCAAATCCTCTTGACCACCTCCGATGAATAAAAAATAATTTTCTATCAGTGAAAATTTTTTCGAATTTTTAAAGATTTTTTTTTTTGAAGTAGCTAATTCTGTAGGTAACAAAATAATATTTCTCTAAAGTTTCTCATATTATAGACAGTTTGTAAATATATATCTTACAAACTTGTGATTGCTTGTGATCGAAGACTTTAGATCTTCAAGTTCGGATAATTTTTTTTTATCAATAGAACTTAGCAATGCGATATTCTTCCATTAAACTCTGATACGTGGGTGTCAGTTGTAATAACGTTCGGGACAATATTGTGGAAGGTGTCTTTTGTCACTCTATTTAAAAATAAATCAGTTTTTATCCGGAAAATTGATCTCTTCTGCCAAAAATTAAGAACATCTCCAAACAGAAGATTTCAATTTTCTATATTTAGATTTTTTATACTTATAAGAATATTATGATGTACTCAATTTATATTTATTATAAATGAATTATTAAATTTAAAAAAAAAGGAAGTATGATAATTTACATATTTGATCTTAATAGTTTTTATGTTCATATATTCTTAATCTTAAAATAATTTAATATTAATTTTTTTTGTTTACGCCATAATATTATATTATAATATGAGTGAATACTCAACTTAAGATATTTCCAAAAAGAGTGGAGTATCCAGGGTTTAGTGTTTAAGATACTAACTCAATAAAACCTTACCAAAAAAACCTTATAATATTATCTGATATAAAGTAAATTTTAATTATTAACTTTTCTATTTAGTTTATAAATATTTAATAAATAATATTTAATAATATTCTATAATTTTAATAAAAATTATTTAAATAAAAAATATTGAATGTAGTTATTTATTTTTCAATAATATAATTATTTTTAAAAGATGAACATGATAACAAATATAAATAAATATATTATTAAGTTACAAGTAACTAGAACGAATAATAACTTGTAGTGCACTTTCTTAAATATTAGTAATTATAAATTTGGATAAGTTTATATATGACTTTGTATGTTTATATTCGTCTATATATAGTAGAAAAATATTAAATGAAATAAAATAATTTAAAAACAAATAAGAGAGGCATTTTTGGCAAATAAAAATTTATACCGATGAATATTGTTCACAGCAAAAGTGAGAAGCTAAATATATAACTATGAGTTTATAGAACTCCCATGTGTTTATAAAAATATTGCATATTGTTTATCTCGTTGTTTATATTTATTTATTTATAATATTAAATAATATAGCATTAAATTGAAATATCATTTTATTTCCATATAAAAAAACAGAAATAAATGGAAATGGTGCAAAATTAAATTGAATGACCAATTATTAATTTTATTAATTTTTATTATCTTAAAATATATTTTGTTAAATAACTATGCTTGCGAAATAAATCCATCATGGTATGCTGTTGATTTACGTAAATATTATGATTTTCTAACTAAATCTACTGTTTTAGCTTATATACTTTTGTTTTTATGATTATATAATAATAATAATAATAATTTTATGGTCACCTTTTGATCTTTCTACTGTTTTGTTATATTAAACAGAAAATAACAAAAATTTGTACGATTAATGATACAATGAAAATAAAAAATGCAAAAGAAAAAAATTAAAAACAAGCATTAAGTAAAAAATTTATACAAAAATAATAAAATCAACAATAAATAATGTAAACAAAATTTTGAAAATCTTATAGAATACAAGTAAAGTTTTAATTACTTTTAAATATTATTTTTATATAGTATCATTTATTAATAAAATTATAATAATTTTCTTAAAATTAAAATTGGTGATTTTTTTAAAGTGACTTATAAAATAAACAAAATAAAAATTCATGATAAAATTACGAAAAACTTTAAAATTCAGTTTTTTATTTATTTATTAAAGTATTTCGTTTTCCTTAAAATTAGTTAAACATAATGAGAATATTTTTCTTCCAAAGTTTTTCTCTGTGAGAGAATAAAAAGAATAAATTTATTTTCTCCATATATTCAAATTAGAAAAAAGTTCTTTCAAAATTTTTCTGTTTTGTTTTCTCTTAATTTGGGACAATAGGACACGTGATTTGAAAAGCAAATTGGTATCGGACACGTGGGTTATGGTTAAATAAACAAAATAAAATTTTAAAGTTTTCTTATCTTCAATAAAAAAAAATGGAAAAAGAAGTAGTAAAAGAGAAAAGACAAATGAAGAAGTGAGGCTAACGAAAAGGAAAACACGCTGACATTTTGGCCACAACACGCGGCGAAACGAATGCCCAGAGCCACGACACCATTTCCATCTACTATGGATTTTCTATCTACTTGAAAGTATTTTCTTTTTCTTTCTCGCAAAAACAAATAATAAGTAGAAAAGAGGAAAAAAAAATTTTTGTTCTTTTGCGTTTCAGGAGTACTCTTTTTGCTTTTAAATTTTTAATTATCCTATTTGAATACTATCGTTTTACTTTTATGTTTATATCTTCCATCTCTCACCAGTTAAATTACAAAAGAAGCATTCAGATTATTCGAGGAGGAGAGAGGGAAAGGTGCGTGCATCGTTGCTATAATGTCTCTTTAATTTCTCTGCTTCTTTGGGCTAAAAAAGAAAAGTCTTCCTTTTTTCCATATGTTGATGTTGTATATATGCGCGTGTGATTTGTTCAGTGCGGAAGTGGAATATACGTAATTAATTAAAACCTTTTTAGGCGTATATGTGATTTAATTAATTAAATCATAACAGAGTATGAACAAGGAAAGCTTAAAAAACTTGCCAGAATAGGGTGTCTTTTGTTTTGGTATCTCTGACCAATTGTATGTGTAAATTTGTATGCTATACAAATAAAAATAGAAATAGACTGAGCCGGTAGAAGAAGAAGAAGAAGAAGAAGTAATTCTCCGAAAACACGAATGTCGTCTTTGCTGTTGCCTTCGACTAGCCGGCAGTCAAATCTGGAACGCTTTCTTCAGTGCGTAACTCCCGTTGTTCCTTCCAGACTCCTTCCCCAGGTACACCACTATTGCGCTTCTTCTCTTAATTTTGATTATCCTTTTCTTACACGTAGTTTCCAAAGCTAAATTTGTTCATCTTCGTCTCAGTTATGAATTCATATCGTGGACTGTATTTTTTTTTTTTTTTTTTGATTGTTCATCTTTCGTCTCAGTTTATGAACTTCATATCGTGGGACTGTATTTTTTTTTTTTTTTTTTTTTTTTTTGGTGCAATGGACTATAAATTTCTGTTGTAAACATTCTCTTTTTCTTTTTCATTCTTTTAATTTTAATAAAAAGAAAGAGGATTGAGAATTGAGATACCAGTCATATGTATCCACGAATTCACTAAATTCTGTTTTTTTTTTTTTCGTTGCCCCTTATTTTTATATGGAATTTGCATAATAATTCTGAGAAACAATGAAAAAAATAATAATAATTCACTCCATCTGTGACTTTTGTGGTGATTGATAGTCATCGTACTCCTTTATGGTCGGTAATGTGGAGTGGGCCTGACTTGGTTTTGTTTGTCTGCCGTTGTGGGCCACTGCGAAAACCTTATCCTTGTAGCCTTCTAGAGCTGGGTGGAATCATGCTGCGAATATCCTCTTGAGATGTTATAATATGTCTCTGTCCTCCTTCGTCTTATTTGCTAATTGCTAGTCATTCTTTTGATAGTTTCACGGCCATGTGTTGCACGTTGACCCTTTAGATTGTAAATATTCAGTTTGATTAGGCTTAGGTGTCAAAAACAAACTTAGTTTATTTATTGGGTTTAAGTATAGTTTGAGCAAAATATTTGAATTGCTACCTCGTTATTTAAACAGAGTATTTATCTCTCCGATGCATAATTTATAATTTAATTACTGTTTCATATAAACAATTAGGACAATTCTAGCTCATATTCTTTAGTTCGGCTTGATGATTTCTTTTTACTCCGTTTATTATAATCCTAGCTAGCTCATTTATATTTGTATCTTTTAATGTATATAAATTGATACAATAGTTTCTCTGTGAGAAATTATTCTTGTTTTTGAAGTTTAAGGTGTTCTATTGGATCTCGGTGATCATTCTACTGCCTCCATTTTGATATAAGGTGTTCTTTTTGCTGGGAACATCTTTGCATCTTGTTTGCAAACTGGAAATCGTATAGTTACGTAAAGCATGTAAATGGAGTTCTTATTTCCTTTTCCAACTTATAATGCCAAAATGGGCTGGTCCTGAGCTGACCGCCTATCGATAATTGAGTCCGCATGTGAAACAATATGGGTTAGAGAGTATGGTTGGGAATTGTGAAAAATGTATGTGATAGATGTGTTGGGATTATAACTAATCCCGAGTGGAGCCTGCAGAAAAATACCGGTAGTAAAAGTAAAATAAAATTACTATTAACACATATATCTCTAATAATTTCGTATTAGATATTGACGATCGAATCCATAAAAAATAATAACCACGGTAAAAAATTAAATAATTACCGTAAATGCCAGATGAAAAATATATTATAAAATCTGATATAGTTGTATAAAATGATATGGATGTTATTCACTACTAAATTCTCTCCGTGTTAGTGGAGTGCCTATGCAGACGAACTAGTGCGCTCCTGTCTAGTAAAAGTAAGATCATATATTAAACTTCACTATATCAATCATGCATCGATATCTCTATATAATTTCGTTTAATATTGACGATCAATCCATAAAAAATAATAAAAACCACGGTAAATAAAATTAAAAATTACCGTAAATGCCAGATGAAAAATAAGACACCGCAGATTTACTTTCGTATTAGATATTGACGATCGAATCCATAAAAAATAATAACCACGGTAAAAAATTAAATAATTACCGTAAATGCCAGATGAAAAATAAGGACACCGAGATTTACGTGGTTCACCCTTCAACCGTTATGGGCTGCGTCCATGGGACAAAAACTCCGAATAATTCTTCCACTAAAAAATAGTAGGTACAAAAGAGAATACAAAAATAGTAGCACTCTAAGCGTTTTCCAAAAGCGCCCAAAAATTATAATTCTCACTATTTTCTCTTGAATAGTAACTTTGTAGAAAACTGACAGAATTTACCGACCAAAGGCTCTGATACCAGTTGAGTAAACCAGTTAGCACTCCGCTTGCCGCTCACTTCAAGAGAGGTTCAATATGAAGAATGCTAAACCAGTTAGCACTCCGCTTGCCGCTCACTCCAAGTTGAGTAAGAAATCCTACCCATCAACAGAGCCCTCATCAAAACAGAGAAGAAAAAAGTAGATATGTAAATGATTCCATTATCTAGCGTCGGAAAGTTTGATGTACGCCAATGGTGTTGTACGAGACCAGACTCGCTCATATGGCAGTGGCGTTGTGAGCCGATTTTCCTGTCAAATCCCAAGAAGACACAATTCGGGAGAGCATGAAGTCAGATCTTCAGATACCTAGCAAGGAACTTCAAAGTTATGTTTAACTTTTGAGTGAAAAGGCTGTAACGCTTGTTTGGCTACACAAGATGCAGATATGGCCGGTGATTTATATGGCCGGTGATCTTGATGAAAGAAAATCTACATCAGGATACCTATTTACATTCTCAGGGGAGCTATTTCATAGCAGTCAAGATTACAGAAATGTGTTTCATTATCAACGACTGAAGCTGAGTACGTTGCAGCAACGGAAGCAGGAAAAGAAATGCTTTGGTTAAAGCGATTCTTTCTCTCTTTCCTAACTTTAGGAACCTTTTCCTAAAATTTTCTGCACTGAACTGTGTAGATCTCTTTGTTTTATGTTTTTGTACATTGTTTAGTGAAAAACCTTCTCCTATAAACAAGAGAAGGGGATGTGTCATTAACGCGTCCACGGAATGGATGCGTTAATCACGCGTCCATTTTTCCTTCCTTTTTTCTTCATTCAAACGTGTGTGGGTCCCACACGTTTGAATCTCTTCTTTTTTTTTTAATCTCTTCTTTTTTTTTTCTTTGACCAACAATAAAAACGTGTTTGTTTGTTTTTTTTTTCTTTTCAAATGTTTGCGGGCCCTACATGTCGGAGGGACATTTTTCAAGCGATTCTTTCAAGAATTGGGTGTGCAGCAGAAAGAATATATAGTTCATTGTGATAGTCAAAGTGCGTTAGACTTGAGCAAAAATACTATGTATCATGCACGAACAAAACACATTGATGTAAGATATCATTGGCTTAGATCCGCCATTGAAGAGAAGCAGTTCCAATTGCGAAAGATCCACACAGACAGAAATGCTGCGGATATATTGACAAAGGTCGTTTCAAAGGAGAAGTTCGAACTGTGTCTCAAAGCGGCAAGAATGGAGAGTCCCACCATATAGTCGAGAGGGGGAGAATTATTGTGGGGTCCCTCTAACATGTGGGACCCACACACACATTTGAAAAAAAGAAAAAAAAAAACAAACACGTTTTTATTGTTGGTTAAAGAAAAAAAAAAGAGAAGAAGAGATTCAAAAGTGTGGGACCCACACACGTTTGAATGAAGAAAAAAGGAAGGAAAAATGGATGTGTGATTAACGCATCCATTCCTTGGACGCGTTAATGACGCTTCCCCTTCTCCTTTTATAGGAGAAGGTTTTCACTAAACAACGTACACAAAAAACATAAAAAGAAGAGATCTACAGAGTTAAGTGTAGAAAATTTTAGGAAAGGGTTACAGAGTTAAGTGTAGAAAATTTTAGGAAAGGGTTTCTAAAATAGGGAAAGAGAGAAAATATTGAGGATTTTAATTTTTGGGGTGTTTTTTGGGAAACACTTAGAGTACTACTATTTTTGTAATCTCTTTTGTACCTACTATTTTCAGTGGAAGAATTATTCGGAGTTTTTTGTCCCGTGGACGTAGCCCATAACAGTTGAAGGGTGAACCACGTAAATCTCGGTGTCCTTATTTTTAATCTGACATTTACGGTAATTATTTAATTTTTACCGTGTTTATTATTTCTGGTGGATTCGATCGTGAATATCCAATACGAAATTATTGGAGGTATATATGGTAATAGTAATTTTATTTTATTTTTACCACCGGTATTTTTCCGCAGGCCCCACTCGGGATCAGTTATAATCCCAACAAGATGGATTCTTGGCCCTTCAAAAGAGATGCATAGTCATCTCTATACTATATTGTTTGATAATAGAGATCAATTTAACCAGTTTTCCCCTTGAAAGCCTATCCAAGAGGCAAAAAGTGTGCTAATTTATACAATATGGATAAGAAGATGTGTGGATGAACAAAATTAGATACTATCAGATTGTGGTCATTGTTGCATTCATTAACCTTTTATCAAATCTCAAGACCCTTATTGGGGTTCTTAAGATATAATACAGCACATTAATTTGATGAAAACTGACGGTAGTTTAGCAAGAAAAATTAATACACGACTAAAACTTGCATAATACAATTTCTATCTGAAAACTAGGAAAAAATAAACTCATGATATTAGTTTACTGCATAATGGTCGATGCAAACGGAGAAGTATTACCAAAGAATCCCTCAATTTAAAGCTCTATCTTGTAGGTGAATATGGGCACCTCTCTGCAACATGTTATACAACATGAATCAAGGCTAATTATACCTAAAAATTTATTGCAACCTATTTGAGGCTCTGACTTGGATTTATTAACTTTCATCCGATTTTCTTTTTTTTTTTTTTTTTTTTTTTTTTTTTTTTTTTTTTTTTTTTTTTTTTCCCCTTTTTTTTTTTTTTTTTTTTTTTTTTTTTTTTTTTCCCCTTGATCCTTTGAGTTTTATTTATCTATTAATTCCGGGATTTATTTGGGTATGATAATTTCCTTTTGTCCTTTTGGTGCTTTTTTTCCTACTGATATTCCTCCAGAGGATTGCATTGTGCTCATTCTGTCTCATTTCCAAGTGTGGTATCTGTTCCGTGACTTCTACATATGGTAGCTGCATCTGAACTGGAATCTAGTGGAACCGTTGTCACCTTCTTTCTATCAGTGTTGAGCTTCTGTGTTCTTGGTGATTAGTGGTTAGGTTTCTTTTTCTGGTATTGGTTTTATTCTTGTGTGGAGTTATGCCCTGCTCCAAGTTTTGGGTCTCTGCTGCACTGCCACAGGCTACTTATTGGGCTCTTTGTCTCTCCAGGTTTTCACTCTTGTTTACATATAAAAGAAAAATAGAAAGAGGAAAGAGGAGAAAGAAGAAGGGGAGAGGGGGGGGGGGTTGACGATTTTACATCACAAGTCCTAGACCTATTATTTCAGATTTTTTTGCATTTTGCAGCTACCAGGAAGTGATCTTTCTGCATGTTTGTAAACCTGTTTCCAGATATTAAATATTATGAATGTCATCCCTTTTTCTTTAATTTTTAAAATAGTTTGCCTTTGTCAATATTCTGCAGAGTTGTATCCATGATCTAAATAGCTTATGGCAGCCACTTCATAGAAAAGAGAGAGTTGAATACTTCACTTTGGGAGATCTATGGGATTGCTATGATGAGTGGAGTGCATATGGCGCTGGAACCCAAGTACTTTTGAATAGCGGTAACAACATTATGCAATATTATGTCCCTTACCTATCGGCCATTCAGATCTACAGCAATAAGTCAGCATTAGCTTCCAGGTTTGATAATTTTTTCATCTTTTATGCACGAAAAGTAGATGCATTAAATGCTTGTGGACAGGTTCTTGGCAGTAAAATTGAATCGATATGCTTTTCATCATGTAGGAATCTGAATCAGGGAGGATATATGGACGCAGTAGAATTTGAAAGTGATTCTTGGAGTGATGAAAGCACAAGTGATAAACTGTCAAGATCTCTAAGCAATAATTCCAGCTGCACTTGGGATACCATTTCTGAAGATTCGAGCTTTGATCATGACGGTTCTTTAATGACCAGAGACAGACTTGGTTATCTTTACCTGCAATACATGGAGATATGTTCTCCCTGCTGGAGGGTTCCACTCATGGAAAAGGTAAAGGCCTCAAACTTAATCGACAAACACAAGAAGAATATTGCCGGAATTTATTCACATCCAATAATAAAACATGGTTATTGTAGGCTCACATAATCAGCCTGGATATTTGAGAAATAATATTAATTAGTCATGATAATCTTATATACTCCTAATCCATCTAGCTTCAGGCTCTAAATCTTTTAAAATGAATCTACCAAAGCATCTAAAAGTTGTAAGGTATATATTCTATGGGGAATTAAATTTCGAAAGTTGCAGATTCTATTGATATATTGCTTTGCTTTCTTTCTTTTTTTTTTTAAAAAAAAAAAAAAATTGTTTTAAAAAAAAAAAAAAATTGTGAATACAATATTGGTCTATTTCTGTAATTAACTGTTACATATACTGAGTTTTACAAGCTAAAGATGAACTTACACATATTTTATTCAGTTTGTTATAACAGTATTTTGAGATAACCATAACCTGAACCTGTACTTGTAACAAGAGTTACCCTTATCAATATTTAGCTGCTATAAGACTTTTAGGACTCTCAAATGCTTAGTAATGTCCAAAATATATCCTGTTAGGTATTTGGATTTGTTAAGTTCTACATTAACTATCATTATTGTGTCTCCTCTCCCACCTCTCTGGAGGTAGGTCATTTTACAAATAGAATATGATGTATATTCATCGGTGCTGTGTGGATTTTCATTGTCAGATAACTGAATTAGCCAGAATTCATCCAGGACTGATGACGCTCAAGAATGTGGATCTCTCTCCAGCAAGTTGGATGGCTGTTGCTTGGTAACTATTGTTAGTTATATCTGTGTGCATGTTTGTCATGGTTATTTAACTTCTCATTGCAGGTGTTGATTATATTATTATCTTGACATATATATGCGACTTCCTATGTTTCTTTAACCAACTTCAGACTGGATTTTTTTTTTTTTTGGTTTTTGTATGTGTGGTGGAGGGTGGCGTGGCGGTGGGGGAAGTTGAACTCAAAAGGGGATTTTTTTTTTTTTTGGTGTGTGGTGGAGGGTGGCGTGGGGTGGGGGGAAGTTGAACTCAAAGCTGCTTGTTTTTTCATGCACATGTTGCAAAATAGTAATGCAATAACATTATTGATGCCCTTCATCCGTAGTAATTCTAGAAGTTTTAATGTTCATTATGCATGCGAATATTGGTGCAAGATATGATATTTCAATAGAATAGAATTCAAGGAAATGGAATACCTCTATATGATGGGGGAAGACATGAGATTTTAAGATAATAGTGGAGGCGGAAGTTTATAGTGAAAAAAACAATAGGAAAGATTTTTGGATGATGTTTATCTTGCGGGCCTTCTTGGAGTTCAGTTGTCCTTGTTGTGCCAAGTTGCTAAAATAGAGATCACTCGGTATGACTTGTCCTTGAAGTCTGTGTGATGTCAACTAATAATGAAGAGGAATAACATGCCAACCTTGCATCAATATGTTCTTAGCTTCTTGCAACAATTAGTACCCTTCTTGAAGTGTATGAGAAAGTGAAGAAAAGATTTGGGTCAAAGTAGTTTTGTCCTGGTAAATTTTTGGTTATAACTTTCCTGTTCCATCACTGCTTTTAAATTTTATTTATGTTATTATTGGATTTGTGAGTTTTACATATGTCCTTCCTAATTAGTTGTATGTATTTTCAGTCAAAATAAATAAATAAATAAATTATTAAGCATATGTATTTCATTGTTGATCAGGTATCCTATTTATCACATTCCGTCCCAAAGAAATAATGAGAAGGACTTGTCGACATGTTTCCTCACTTATCATGCATTATCATCATCTTTCCAAGGTATTTGATTTTCTGTTGCCTTTCATTTTGTTGTAGGATTCTTAGTTTTCTTGGTTTGTTTGAATAATAATGAATTTAAATATTGAAAATCTCTATAATAATTATTTAAGTCTAATTGCTTCTTAATAATAATTATAGAACTTGTTTAGTTAACATAAATAAATGAGATATAATTAGAATTTTTTTGAGGAACAGAAAGTAGAATTTAATCATATTAGAAACAACAACAAGCTACTTGGAGATATATACCTATGCATATATTAGAGACAATATCCTTTAACGAGTTAAAATCTTGGAGAATGATTTTCGCTCAATACAAGGAACAAATCAATCATTTTAGCTTGCATTCTCTCATTGGCATGACCACTACCAATGTCTTCCACCATGATAGTACTACCTCACCTAACCCCCAGCATCTCAAAGAAAAGCACAGCTCAACATCGCACCACCGTTTTTTACTGTTGCATTGGAATTTCTATCTCAAGCAATATCACTATGGCACTACCTCTCTCTGCAATATATTATGCCATGCTACCTTCACCTATTTTTCATTATTACTATAGCACTCTAGTAGAAACTACCACAACTTCTTGGTTGCCACTACAGCTGCCACTGTTGTAATCTCCCGAAAACCACTCTTAATTTGTTACTGGAGGTGTATTACTATTGCTATATTGATATTCATTAGCACCATGTTGCTCACATCTTAATGCTATTTTTAGCATCAGTTTTAGATGTAAACATGAATTCATTTATAAATAAATTTGTAAATATGGAAGTTCATTGACAAATGAATTCTCTCATATAAATGATATAAATTAAAACATGGAATATAATTGAATTTCAAACTTTAATGTTTTGAATGAATCTAGCATTAATTTTTTTTTTTTTTTAAATTTCCTAGAATACTCTAGGTGTTCTAAGAGAAACAAAGTAAGAGGAGACAGAGAAAAGGGAAGAAATAGAAGAGAAAGAGACAAGGGGGATGAGAGGAGGAAGGGAGAGAGAAGAATGAGATGAGATGACATTTTTGTCTATGAATTTGTTTTCTTAGTTTTGTGGTTTTATTTGGAAATTTCACCTATGTTGATAGAATTTGGTTTATTTATATTCAATTCCATAAAATTCAACTCCAGAATTGAAATAATTTTTTCTTAATGTTTCAAACATGAAAACGTGGATTTTGAATAAATTCCACAAAAATTTACGAAATTCATTTGTTCCAAACAGAAAATTAGTATGATAAACAGAATTTTCTCTGCTCCGAAGCATCTGATAATGCCTGGGATAGTGAAAGGTGTTATGAGTTAGAGTGAAGCATGGTTATCTTAGTCTCATCATTCTAGGTGCCATGATTCTGTTATACTGAAAGGTAAATTATTAAATTGTATGGAGCTGGAATTAGGCCAATTATATTTGTGAGAACATGTATTGAGAAAAGAAAATCGAAGACGCCCATAGATGAGCATACATAGATAAGAATACTAAAGAGCCTCTTTGGCATTGTAGTAAAAACTACTTTTTTGGAAAAGCATCATTTTAGATGCTATTCAGAAAGCTGTTTGGAGTGCTGTTTGGCTGTTCTGTAGTTTTATGACTAGTATATGTTAGATTCACCTTATAAATGAACTTTAATGACCTATGAAAATTTTCAACGAAGTGACTTTTACCAACAGCATCTCAAACGGCAGCTGCGGTGCCAAAAAATCTTTAAGATGGGTACATTTTATTGTTTCATTTATTATTGTGGATATATCATTGACAAGGGGCATCATCTACTTATTTTATACAGTTTGTTATTGACATTAATACTAAGGACTTGCTATGTTGTTCTTGACTTGATTCTGCAGAATATGGGAATGAACAGGATAACATTGTAGATACATTGGAAGCAACAGAAACTAAACCAAAAGTTGAGAACAGTGGTGGTATTTCCCTTGCTCCCTTTGGGATGGCTACCTACAAGATGCATGGGGATCTTTGGATAAATCCAAGGTCGACGTGCGACCATGAAAGAATGATCAATCTTTATAGCGCTGCAGATTCCTGGTTGAAGCAGCTCGATGTAAACCACCATGATTTTAACTTTTTTACTTACCACTCTGCCACGTGAATTGGTGCGAACTCTCAACTTTTCATATCCCTGCTTGCTTTTTATTTAGTGGCCAAGCAACTACTAACCGAGTCACCTTTTAGCCAAAGCTAGTATAGCCATGAAATTGATAAGGGAGTAAAACTGTCAATGCAATGACTTGATCCGGGGCGTTTTTCTGAGAGATTTTTCTTTTACTTTTTCTAAAACTAAAAGAAACGTTAGGAAAGAGGAAAAAATGAGTTTCTTTTCTTGAACCTTATTCTTCTGAAAGGAGTTAGTAGATCTTACCTGTAAATGGACTGTTTCAGTTTCAGTTCAAGTGTAACGTTCCCTTCTTTTTTTATTTGGCGGGAAATTTGCACACACTTTGTTAAATTTGTAAAGTTTTCTGAGTTTGTTGGACTTTCAATATTCCAGGAAAATATTTTTTTTTTCCAATTTGATGAGCTTTAAAATTTTAGAATAGGGAATATTTATTTAGAAAATTGATAAAAAAAAGTAATTTAGTTAAATTACAACTATTTTTGCTAAAATTAAAATTATTTAACGATGCCGGTTGATGTTGATGTGTATGGAGAAGTTAAGCCAACTCTTTTACCCGCTACATAACAATTTACTTGGTTTGGTGACGTCAATGAAAATTCCTCATTTTGTTTATGTTAGCACTATAAAGAAGGAGCAAAAATCATTTGATCGAGGATACAAAAAAAAACCTCTGCAACCTGTTTTTTTTTTTTTTTTTTTTTTTTTTTTTGACGACATACAAAAAAAAAACCCTGCCAACCTGTTTTTTTTTTTTTTTTTTTTTTTTGTCTGCCGACATTAATTTATTTATGTTTCACTTAAAAAAGGGAAAAAAGAAAGTTTCCTAATATTTGCTTTACAAAATCTGTACTTGCAAAGATTTGTTATGATTGGTATGTAACAAAAAAAAAAAAAAAAAAAAAAAAAAAAAAAAAAAAAAAAAAGAGAAACTTTAACGGAGTTAAAGAATTATGAAAAATTTGTAGTAGCTCAATCGTAATATAATTAACTCGTTATGCAGTTGATAAGCTATTGATTTTACTTGTATTTTACCGGTGACTATAACGCTAAAGAGAGTAAATAACGACTAAAATCACTATTTTAGTGTGCCAAATTGAAAAAAATCAGTATTTTATAGGTAAAATATAAAATTTTTTACATTTTATAAGGTAAATTAAAAAAATAAAATAAAACTAGGGGCATGGTCCATTGCTGTGCATATGTTCCCGGTCCCAAATTCAATCAATAATGCAGTTTCGCGTTGCTTCCTAGCTTTTTCCTTTATTTGATGCTTCATGCTAAAGTATTCATAAAGCTATGATATTTAAAGTTTTAATAATTTAAAATAGGAAAAATCTCTATATTTATACCCGTAAACTTATTGAATGTTTGACTTTAGCCCTCCGTATTTTTATTTATCGATATTAAGTCTCTTAATCTTTATTTTTTTTATTAAAATTAAACCCTTATTTAACTGAGATATAGAATATGCTTTATTTATTAAAATGTGAAGGCTTATTTGCTTATTTAACTATTCATTTTAATAAAGGCTGCATCTTTCTATATCACAGTTAAAAAAAAAAGGCTTATTTCTAATAAATATTAAAATTAGAGGGTATATTGTTCATAAATAAAAATTTAAGAGTTTAAGGAGTGAAAATTGTTAAATTCAAGTGTTTAAATATGCATTTTTTAAATATAAAACATATTTTATTATTAAATTGGAAAGAAAAACCTTAACTTATTTTCTAAAATTAAATTAAAAATATGTTTTAAAACAAATTATGGTTCTAGTTAGGTCCAAATTTTAGGTATATACTTCAATGTTTCCTTTTCCCCCTCTTCAAACCAACCCAACGAAAACAAATCCATTAAGAAACAAAAGATCTGAAATTAATAAATTAAAAGCTTTCTATGTTACTGCCATGGTTATGGTAGTTAAATATTAATTAATAAAATTAATTATCAAGAGAATAATCACCCAGATTTGAATTTGTAATGCTTAAAAAATAATAAATGAATAATTTCCTCTTTTATTCTGTACTTACAGAAATAAAACAAGGTCTTTATGAATTAATAAGGGATGGCAATCACGTGCCGACCCATAGGTGCGGTTGATAGAATAAAATTTAGCAACGGTTGAGGAGTTACGCTTCCTAATCCCCAACAAAAGCACGCGTTGCGTTTAAGTATTTAACTGCTTTGTTGAAATTCTGCTTTCGTTTCCATATTCTGTCAAGGGGAATTTCACTTTTCAATTTGTACAAGCACAGTGAGGAACAAATGATTCTTCAGTTTCTACTTCTCTGATGCTTTAATGTTTGATCGTTAACTGAAACCTGATCTGGCTGAGGCTTTATTAGTTCAAGTTGTTCTTATCAGCGAGAAAGTACATTTTATCGACTGAAAAAAGAAAGCAAGGAAGAAGGTGATGTGGTGGTTACTGGTATTTTTTTGTGGATTTTCGTTTGGGGCACTCGCTGTTGTTGCCTTTGAAGCTTTGGGAGTTTATGTCTTCATAAAACGATTGAATCAAAAAATTCGAAAAGAAGAGCACAAATCATCGTCTCATGAAGATCTCGATCCCCATCAGTCACTCGATTACGCTTATAATAAGAAGGTCGCTTTTTTCAACTTCATCTGCTTAATTCGGTACCATTGATCATCTGCATGGTTATTCTCATCTTTCATTTTCTATTACCAATTTAGCTTGATGGTGTTTATAACTAAGCATTTCTTATGGGGCAACTTCAAAATTATCGCCATCGTCTCAATAACTTCTGTTTCTTAAGTCTAGTACACCTTCGTCGTCTCTCTCTCAAGAAGCTTAAATTTCCCTCTATTTTTTCATACTTTGCATGTACGCACATTTTAATTTTAATATTTCTTTTGCTTCTGTAATTACGTTTTCAAACTCCTTATTTGCTGGATGGCTGTCTGGTTTGCTTTTGTGACTCAGGGTGTTGTGTGGGTTCTAGAATCGGACAAACTTCCCAAAAATTGGCTGGCTGAAAAGGCCCCAAAAGAGCCAAAGAAGAAAAAGTTCTTTGAGGTTAATCCTGTTAAGAGGAATGCAAGAATCAAGGATCGATCGCTTATTTTGACAGATTCAGATGGTTCCCATGCGACTATTCCATTAAAGAGTTGCACAATAGACGCTGTTTCTGCTACCGACCTTCCCTCAAGAAAATGGTACAACAGCATTTGCCATACACTTCTTCACTGATCTGTTGCATCGTGTGACTTAATGCAATATGATTTTTCTGAGTTTCCTTTCAATTTTACTTGCTTGTTGGGAAGGCTTGTCTTTTTTTCTTCTCTATACCTTGAGTTTTTTGCTTTTCCTTTGATGCCGGACTATCATTTCCTTATTTTAAACAAATTGTCATTGATTCACCATGGTTCAGTTTGGCATTATGTTAACTGATGTAGTGTAATTTAATCAACTGTAGTTTAGTTCATTATTTCAAAATACAACAACTAAGCCTTAATCCTTAAACTAGTTGGGTTCAGCAATATGATTCCTTTATTTTTATTTCACTTTGCTCATAACTAAATCCGTACTAATGTAAAGAGCTAGTAGTTCCTTTCTGACAACTTCCCTCTATGTTGTCTTGAGTCTACTTCTTTCCCTTTTAATACCCTCTATCATCAGTGTATCACATTCATAAGCTGGAAATGGGGTCTACAAAGTGACTAAACTATCTTAGATGTCCTCTCATTTTATTCCAATGTGTGCTATCCTTTTGTCAGATGTGGTCATTTCTAATCTAGTCCAATATTGTGTGACCACACATTTGTCTTAAAGTTAACATTCTTACAACATTCATCTTGTGAATATGTTCGACTTTCAGGGCCTAAAATTCATGCCTGTATAACATCATTGGTTTTAAGGCATTCTATAGAATTTGCCTTGAACCTTATTAGAGACCCTCCTATTGCATAAAAACCTGTAAAATTATTCCAATTTTAATTCATCTGAATATGTTATATCATATTCTACCACGTTATACTAACCATAACCTTAATGTTTCTCATGCTTCACCTCATCTTGAAGGCAATAAAAGGCTCCTCCGCTTCCTCCTCTCCTTTTCTTTTCTCTTTTTTTTTTTTTTTTTCCCCTTCAAAAAACAAAATTGTTGCAGGGCAGGGTTCAAGCTTCATCTTTTTTGCATAGAACTGAATTCACAGACCTTGTGAACTCGTTCTGCTTCAGAATTCTAAGTGGCATTGTCATGTGGGTCATTGTTTCTGCATCTAAATTATGCTTTCTTTCTTTGAATGAACATGGCTTCAGTGAGGATGGTTCTTCTAACAGTAAGCTTCCAATGAAATTTTCTGTTGCCTGATGTCTTGTGATAGGCTGCAGCGAAATATCCTTTCCTAGCCCTTCTTGTTGACAGGAGTCATTGAACTACATCCTTTTAGAACCTCTCACCCTCCTCCCTCCCCTGTTCCTCTCTTTCTTTTTCTCCCTTCTCATGAACAGAAAATAGGTCTTTTCATGCTTTTAAAAAATTACTTGATGGTAAAGCTAAGGGAATTAGAATTTTTTACATCAATTAAAAGTAAGAAATCTGCAAACTATTAATCTTTATCATTGTGCAAAATTTTGTGACATTGCAGGGCCAAACGATTTCCCATAAAAGTGGAGAGCAAGACTTCGGTGATATATAATGCAAGTAAGACAATTTATATTTATCTGGACACATCTTGGGAGAAAGAGTCATGGTGTAAAGCCCTTCGTCTTGCTTCGTGCGATGACAAAGAGAGACTTAATTGGTTCACCAAGTTGCGTGAAGAATTCCATTGTTACTTGACATCCTTAAATACAGGATACCCTTCATTTATGAAGCCCTCAGTGGGGTTCAATGCTGAGCCTGTAGACAGGATGACTAAGCTTGATGGTTCTGCATCAAAGGTCCGCGTGTTTCTGAAAAAGCTTGCCAGAAAGGCTTCAAAGACAGATAACAGAGGAAATTTCCCAGTAGGCCGTGAAGAGAGAAAGATTAACGAGAAGAATCGCTCATTCCAAGATCCAACGTTGACCAGTAGCTTGGTAAAGACTGCTCCAACAGGAAGGGCACGTCTGAATTCTGAGGAGGAGAATATGGCAGTACTGTCATCATCGCCCTTTTCCCATGTAGCAAACCAGAGCCATATTTCTGTTGTTTCTGATCTGGACTCTGATGATAAGTTCAATGTTGATGAAGGAACGCTCTGCTGGAATTTGCTTGTTTCTCGTATTTTTTTTGATGCCAAGAGCAATGCTACGATAAAGAGTTCAGTTCAAGCGCGGATTCAGGTCTATTATTTCTCAAAATTTAACTGCATTTATTTGTGTGCTTGAATGCCAGCTAAGTTCAAAGCTAATAGGAGATACATTAGATGTTATTTCTAGTATTATACTGTGCAGCACTTACGGGGATTGGTCCATCAAATAAATTTCATTCTGTTATTGTTAAGATACTTGAGATTATAACTACCAGTAGAGGTTTATATAAATATATATTTGGTTGTGAAATATTTATTTCTTGAACTGAAATATCTAAGCATAAAATACCATGTTTTTCGCATCATTACATGCAGGTCCAGGAACAAGTTTGTATGTGTATTGTTTTTGTTATTTAGATATATGGACACACATATTGAGACCAGTGATTTTTTTAATTTCTGTTTTTTCCAATTTGGTATAACAGAGAACATTGTCTAATATGAGGATACCCAGTTACATTGGTGAAGTCATATGTACTGATCTAGGCTTTGGGAGTCTACCACCTTATATCCATGGTATTAGAGTTCTTCCCATGGACATGAACGAGGTATGGGCATGGGAAGTTGATGTTGAATATAGTGGCGGGTTGGTACTAGACATTGAAACAAGACTGGAAGTTCAGAATCTCCAGAAAGATATGGGGGATACGAACTCAGAATCCAACTCTGATGGGGATGTCCCTCCAGACCTTTTGGAAGGTATTGAATATTTTGGAAAACAGCTGAAGCTTTCTGAAGGATCCATTGATGCACAAGATCAGAGAAATGAAGGAAATCTTAAACTTGGTAAGAATAAATAAGTACTGATTTGGATTTATATGCTCCTTATATGTATGCAAATGCTTAAATACAAAGACAGAATATGATATGATCCTTATAATGATGTCCTAATTCATAATTGATCAGTGACTCCATTATGTGATTCTGTGCTTGTTGAAGATTCTAATAATGTGTTTGACCACCAGTTGTAAAGTCAAGATCCAATTAAATGTTACCTAAATTCTGGTAAAAGTAGTTTGTTACTGGTAACTGCAAAAGTTTGCTAGTATGATAAGACGAATGTTAATGCATGCATATGGATGTCTTTTAGAGCTCTTCTGGGATCTTTTCTTTGCTATCCTTCAAAACTTTTATGAGGCAAAGGTTTCCTCAAATGCCTTGCTGCTTCAAATTGCTTAGTTCTCTAATTCTCCAAGTTGAGATGTGATGTAATCATTAATTTGTAACAAAATTAAAACAAACATTAGTGATTATGATGGACAGATAACTTAGACGGGTCAACAGAGTAGTAAGATACAATTAGGTCCTATAAAGGGCGTAAATTTCTTGCCTGCATTGTCATACAATTTTATTAGTTTAGGCAAGAGCAATTACACTGAATTTAGCATCTGGTTTACAGAAATTAATGATGAATGATAACAATTGCAGCTGATCTTTCTTTCTTGCAGATGGGTTCAAAAACTCTACAGATTATTTGCCAACATCAACAAATGTATCAAGGTGGAAGTCCATTCTTAATTCTATTGCAAAACAGGTTTCACAGGTTTGTATCATACATGTATAGCTACACACAAATTCACACGTGCTGTCAACGGTTATGAAAATTCGTAGATGCAATTCAAATCTGACAAAAATCCCCTTGCTAGATAGTTTGGTCACATGCAAAAGATTGGAATAGCATCAATCGTGGTTTTGCTAGTAACTCAATGGAACATTTTTTATGGCTATTTTGTTTAGGTATTTGTATATTACAATATTGAACTATTCATAAAATTGGTGAATACCTGAGAGGGGTGTGATTGTCAAGTAGTGGCTATAATGATGACAAGATTGGCAAATGGAAGATAGGAGGGGAATATTCAAAAATCAAAATCATTGTTGGGCGGTCAGCTCTTGGGTGCATGTTTGCCAGAGCTGTCATTGGCTTTTGCTTCCTGGTGTGAAATCATATATACAAATATGATTTTCTCTTAAGTGTGTCTTTTATTCCTCTCTTTCTTTGTATGGCTATTTATTCATGGAACATTTGAACATGCAAAGTGTGCTGATGCAATAATTTAAAATTGACTTTCATTTCAAATTATTTCAAGTTGGTTGATAATGTGAAAAAAAAAATTATAAAGAATAGAAAAGTTGAAAAATGGTTACATAAGGTGGAACTTCAACAAAGTTGCAAAACTTGGTACGATATTGAAATTCTGGCTCTTGTAGTACATTCTTTTGGTTTTTCCTTGATGGTTCTTAGGATGCATCACTGTAAGAATAAACTTCCTTATTTTCCCTAACTAATGCTGTTTTAATTAAGGTACCCCTCTCTTTATCAATAAGGGTGGCATCTCTTCGTGGAACTCTGCGGTTAAATATAAAACCACCCCCTTCTGATCAGATATGGTATGGTTTCACATCTATGCCTGATATAGAATTTGACTTGGAGTCATCTGTTGGGGAACACAAGATTAGCAGTGCACATATTGCTTTGTTCTTGATCAGTCGGTTTAAGGTATGATATTGCTCTCATCACATATTATTTATTTACCCTCCATAAGTATTCCTTCTATTACTGGAGTAAGACTGAAAAAAAAAAAAGACCATTAATTACACATGTTACCGAGTTGCCTATTTCCTTAACTTATCCATTTTCTGCTGCATTCATTCACTCAAGGTAACTAACGCAGAATATCTTAACCATCAAACCCTTCCCTGGTGCATGCCTGCTATATGTGTGCCGACAGAAACATTGTCTTGTTGTAACTCTTAAGTAAAACTTTATTTGATTTGTAAGACTAAAGGAGTTCCAAACTTTGCTTGCTTTTTTAATTTTTCAATATTGTGAAGAGTTAACTGGCATTGATGGAAGATTAATTGTTAAGTAAATATTATGAATAATATTTTTGTGGTCCCACTGATCAAAATTCCAGGCTATACTAACAATGCCATGTGGCTTCACCTAATGCTGTTTCTGCAGGCTGCTATCAGAGAAACTATGGTGCTTCCAAACTGTGAAAGTTTGTGCATTCCTTGGATGTTGGCCGAAAAGAATGACTGGGTCCCCCAGACAGTTGCTCCTTTTATTTGGCTTAATCGAGAAGCCACAAGCGAACATGCCTCTGCATCTGAAGCTGTTAGTTCCCGATCTGATGAAGCAAAACTCAAGGAGGAGGCTCATAGGAGAGCCTCCAATTGTGATACAGAAAGCAGCCATTTAAAATCGAAGAATGTTGAATGTAGTCAGCGATCAATTTCTGCTTCTTCTGATACCTTGGAGAGCTCATCAAGCTCTGCCAAGCCATCAATTGAAAGCAGTAAATCTTTGCAAGAACTAACAAGTCCTTTATTGGCAAGCTTTGAACCACAAGATATTTGCAATCAAAGCAGAGAGAGTCAATCACCATCTAGGTCCCTCACAACTGCAGAAAAACAGAATCATGCTGTTGAGGACGATGATTCAAGACCAAAGAGGATGGGAAGAAGAGCAAGAATGCTAGATCTGGGGAAGAAGATGGGAGAGAAACTTGAAGAGAAGAGACGTCACATTGAGGAAAAGGGCAGGAACATTGTTGAGAAGATGCGAGGACCATGAAACTGCAAAAAACAAAGGGAGTGCATAGGCATACTTATAATTTGTAGTGAAAGCTATAGATAGTAGAGGAATGGAGGCATCCATGAATTAAAAAGATCATGTACAATATTCTAGGTGCTAAGATTCTTTTTGACATAAAATTCACTTACTATTCTTGTTCACTCCACAGTTCTTGTGCAAACTAAGATGTAATTGATACAGATCTTACACGGGGTATTAGATTGTATTCATTTAGTGAAAATGTAATATACAAATACAATCTCAAGATATTGAAATTAATCTCTGTCGCTATAGGTTGTAAGACAAGTACAAATAGATACTTCTGAACACACAGTTCATTTAATTGTTGTATTTATTCCACGCTAAGATTGCCAAACATACAGTACAAATAGGTCCAGTAGGCCTGGTTTTCAATAGGTTTTTGTTAGCCCCTGGTTCTGGAGAATATGCATGGGTGGGACTAAGAGAAGCAAGCTCAAACTAGGTTGGGCCATGTCTCCCGCTGTAGCTGTAAGGTGCGTAGCGGAAGCCCGGGAGAGGAATTAGATCCTTTGCGTGCATAACATACTTTTTTCCAAAGCTTCAGAAGTTATATAGAGTCTGGTGGTAATTTCCTCGTCTTTCACTATCTCCCTCAATTTTGTTACCACTCAATGGGTGCAAGATATAGTTCATCTAACATAAAAATGTAAAACAGTGCTCTGCAAAATGGAATTTTGCAACAGCGGCAAGATCAATAACCCGAATATTGTCTCATATATAGGGAGACAATCTACAGCTTCAGTCCACCTCTTTTGCAAAAACATTAATATTTTAGGGCTCTGCCTCGACAGATAACTTGACACACTAATTATAAATTCTCCAATAGTTACGCCCACCAAACCGATCTATAGCATGCAAACCACAATCACATGTGAAGCATCTGAACTGATGAAAAAACTCGGTGCATGTAACAATTGTTAGCCTTAATGCAGACTCCTCAAATGAATGTTATACCTTATCTGTTCCTTGCGTTCCTTCCACGGCTTTACATTGAGGTTTCACTTCTCAATCTTGTTTTGCCTCGACTCATTATTAGTAAGCACTCACGGTTAAACTGAATATGCATCAGCTATCTTGCTCCGTGTCAGCTTACTTGCCGCCTAGTGTCTGCTTTTAGGAATGTTCAGCATGACTCCACCTGAAATGCGACAAAAGTATGAAAGTTATTGCCAAATCCTCAATATGGGAACCATTAGTTTATGGAAGAGCTTGCAGCTTAAGTATAAATTTGGCCCTTAAACTTATTTAATTGATCCAACCAAATTCAGAGATTCTCTGTGGCCTAATAGGTTCTCGAATTCTTGATTTCATATTAAAATCTATCCTAGAACTTAAACTGGAAAGAGATACACACAAATTGAGTACAACAAAATGTTAAAAAGTAATAAAACATCACATCAAATCATAACAGTAAAATCTTGATTTCACCTTATTGCTTTTAGGGTTTCTAACTTAAGCATATTTACTTTCAAATAATCTTTCTCTATGTTACTTTTTACATTTTTTAAATGAAAAAGTGGAAGTATAGTGGATACACTGAGTTGTGTGTGGATAGATTTAGACTTAATTAGTCCAGAATTAAAATTCAACAGTTAATTCAGCACCAAAACAAACAGTTTCGGGTTTGATTGGGTCAATTGGAAAAAGGGAAGACCCCATGTGTATATGACCACTTACACACCAAATCAATCCAATAAAATTATTTAGAACAAAAGAGAATATTCTTTTTACTTGAAAAAAAGAGACAAGATAGTAATAAAAGATGAACTTTTTTTTAATGATAATTTTGGTTTACCATATAAATCAACCCATGTATCAAAAAATCCTACATAAAAGGTTGATAGTAGAAAAATTTATAAATATTATATGAAGTTGAACTTAAAGAAATATTTACCTTTTATAATACCCAAGTTGTTTGCTTTTAACGAGAAATAGCACGACCCTTCTTAGCAAGTCAAATTGCGGCGAAAGCTTGACACATTTTCATTCTTAAAGCCCTTGATCGATTTTCAGGTCATATTGAACTCAAGCACATAACTAGGAGTAAAATCACCAGTAATCTTTGCATGAGCAGGAACCAGATTCAAAATGATGGAACCGGTGACCATCTCTGACAATAAGATGCCTCCCTGTAATTTGTGAGATATATTTCAAAGCAGAATGGCAATCATCACATGTTCTTAGGTTTTTCATGATCCTCAGAGTTGTACCTGCCTCAGTACTGATAAGACCATATGCAATAGCCAATCTCTCACTATGAACCTTCAAAGTTTCCTCCTTCTCTTCCTTTTCCAAGTCATGAACCACGGTATCTGTTTCTGGAACATACCCAGCTTCCAAAAGTTTAACGTTTAGTTCCTCTAACTCATTATAGATATCATCTGACCGATAGTGTGATCGATCTCCAACAATGAAAATATGGACAGAACCATCAATCTCGATATAGCTCCAACCTGATTTCTTAACCAACCGTTTGTGATCCATCAACCTTCTTGTCACAGCAGCCTCCTTCCACTTGCCTGCATGTGTATATAAATTAGCCATTACAACATAACTTCCAACACTTTCAGGATTCAAATGAAAAAGCTTTCTTGATGCAAACTCCCCCAGCTCAAGCTCCCGATGTTTTCTGCATGCACTGAGAAATGGAGCCCATGCCTGAGCTTGTACTTTGACAGGCATCTCTTCGATGGTTTTCAATGCCAATTCAAGTCGACCAGCTCTGCTAAGAAGATCTACCAAGCATGTATAATGTTCTACATTTGGTTCTATTCCAAAATCCTTCTGCATGCTCTGAAAAAATTTCAACCCATCTTCAATCAGTCCTGAATGGCTGCAAGCCAGTAATATGCTTGTGTAAATAACAGCATCTGGCCTTATTGCTTCTGTCTTCTGCATCTTGTGAAAGAGACTGAGAGCTTCTTCTCCCATACCATGGATGGCATAACCATTTATCATGGAACTCCAAGCAGCTAAATCTTTCTTCGATAGTTTCTCAAATATTGCCTCTGCCTTCTCTATATTCCCACATCTGCAGAACATGTGTATCAAAGAGGTCTGGACTTGAAGCTTTGATTGTAATCCGTTAGCCAAAATATGATCTTCGATCTCTTTGCCCATACTGAGTGAACCCAAATCAGCGCAGGCTGAAAGGATAGTAGCCAGAGTTGCTTCATCTGGTTTAATATCTGTCCCTAACAATTTCTTGAAAAGCTGTAAAGCTTCACGAGGATAACCCAATTTAGTATACCCACTAATCATTGATGTCCACAGGAAGACACATTTTTCACGTGCCATATCAAATACTCTCTGAGCTGAGACAAGGTCTCCACAGTTTGCGTACATGCTCACAAGCAAGTTGTTTATCGGACCTTCATTATCATATCCTTCTTGAATTAGGAGAGAATGAATGGAGGAAGCTGCTAACAAATTCCCCACTTGCGCACAACCTGAAATAAGACTTATAAAGACTACACAGTCTGGTCTAATACTTGTTCTCATTTGGCTAAACAAATTGAATGCTTCAGAGACATTTCCAATACCCACATAACCTCTGATAACTGTTGTCCAAGAAATGACTGACTTGTCATGCATCATATCAAAGATGGTGCGAGCTTCATAAACCCGGCCATATTTAACATACATATTCATGATAGCATTAGTTAAAGGAATTTCACAACTATTTATAAGTCCAAGTTTAAATGCGCAACAGTGGATTGATAAGCCTTCCTGAAGAAGGCAAGTGGGAAGAAAACCAAGAAACGTGGTGGAGCTAGGTTTGAAACCAAGAATCCGCATTTCTTGCAATAGCCAACTGGCTTCAGCAGCTAAAGAACAACGACAATAAGCAGAAATTATAGAATTCCATGAGACAGAACTTCTCACGGGCATTTTATCGAACACTTTCCTTGAAGATGAAAGATCACAGCATTTAGAGTACATGTCAAGAAGAGATGTCTGCACAAACAAATCTTGTTGAAATCCCAGTTGCAGTACATGGGAATGGACTTTCGTGCCATCGCGTATGGAGTTGATATTGGAACAGGCTTTTAGGACCAAAGGAAGTGTGAAGTCATTGCCATGAGTGCCGCTGTAAAGCATGGATGAATAGAGGTACAAAGTTTCAGAGAAGAGGCCAGCATTGGTGGAGTTGCGAATCATGAGGTTCCATAGGTATACTGGTCTCTTCACGTTCACTAGTTTTAGATGGGCCTTCTGCATTTGGTATCTGTATATAAATATTTATAATGTTATTATACTCGATGTTCTGGCATTCTTTTCACGTCTTTTTCTTCTTCCGAAGAGAGTTGCAGAAGGAAACAGCAGAATCTTTGGGTCATCTAATTCATCCAATCAATACATGACCAGAAAACTAAATGAGAGGGAAGAAAGAGACATGAAATTTCAGTTATGGAATTGCAGTGATTAGTGAAACAAGAGGAGAATATACTGCAGTGGAATTTTACAAATAGCTACTTAAAGTATCAATAAAGAGATCAATTAGATCACTAGAATTGCAATTTGAAACCTTTTGAGTATGATTTCAATGCGATTCTTGTAATTATTGATTTTGGGCAGTGATAAAATGACATTATGAATATCTATTACTAAATTATTTTTTTAAATCATTTATTACTAAACTTAAGTTATTATGTAATTTCTTATTCTTTATATATAATAGTCTGCTTAAATTTTATATAGTTTATTATGTTATTAATTATATATAAATAATTTAGTTATTACCTATATAATGACTTGAGCAGAATAAAAATATCATTTAGATTTTAGACTTAAAAATATACATGTGCATATATTTATTATTTTTAATTATATAGTACCTTGATTTTATTTTTGATTATATTATTCTCCTGTAAACTTTAACACACGTGAAGATGGTTAAGTATTTAAACGATTCTCTAAAATAATAAATTGTTAACGAAAACAATAAATAATTTTGACTTGAGAGCGAAATAATAATGCACTCTTTTCGATATTCTTGATGATATTTTACTGACAATTAATTAAAAAATAAATTGAACTTTAAGTGATGTAACAAGAAAAAAAAAAAAAACCGAGAGACTATAAAATTAAATTCTAAAAATAGGATCTCAGTAGTATATTCGAGAATAAACGATAGTTATCAATCGCTTTAAACTTCGTATATTATTATTTTTTTAATACAAGGAAAAACGAAATAATCTAAACAAGAAGATATCCCCTAGCCTCTTTCTCTCTTGATTTGGAAAGATTTAAACTTAAGACTTCCATCTAAAAACTCAAGCTTTCCACCTTAAGTTGTCTCCCACGGGAGCTTGGCAAGGTATGATGGCTATTTTACCCCAATATGACAGGTCCAGAGTGATCATTATGTGGTGTTAAGACATACATTTTACAAGCATGAGAATCCAAATCAGCAGATATCTGGCCTTCAACTGATGTCTGAGTTGAGTGCTGCATATTTGAATATATAATTTTAACTTTTAGCATATATAGATATCTGGGCCTTCACTGATGTCTGAGTTGAGTGCTTGCATATTTGGAATATAAAATATTTTAAACTTTTAGCAATATATATATATATATATATATATATATATATATATATAGTATATAATCATATATACCTATATAACATATAATATCTCACCGGCCCATGAATATATCATATATATCTATATAACATATATATATCTCACCGCCCATAAATCTCTAGCATCAGCGATAGTTGTCGGTTTAAGATCAATATCAGACCAGTTCGCAGTAACTGTAGCCTTAGAACCACCTCTATTCCACAGCACAACTGCTACTTTTCTATCACTGAGAGGACCAGCCCAAACCTACACATAAACACACACAGACATATACATATGCTCATAAAACCAAAATATATAAAAGATGGAAATCAAAATGTAGAACACAGACAGACCTCTAGATTCCCATCAACTTTAACCTTTTTCCCTTGAACTCCAAGTTTATCTATCCACAAATATCGTTTTAAGCAATTAGTTAAATTGAAAGAAGCAAATCAATTATAATCTGTTTAGTCATTTCATATACCTTGATTAACAGCAATGACTTCCTTATTGCTTAATATTTCATACGTCTCATTGCTCATTGATCGAATATCACACCCAATTAAAAGAGGAGCCTGTATATATAGATATATCATTATACGTCTGACTGAAAAATAAATAGATATCAAATGTCTTTTTCAAGTATTGATTGATATATAACCTTGGCCAATGCCCATATGCTGAAATGTGATCGGTACTCCTCGATTGTCATGCCTCCATTTCCAACTTCAAGCATGTCAGGATCTGTTACCAATAATTATTGATGCAAATGTAAATTTGACAGCATAGGAGTTTAATTATGTCGATGATCAAAATTAAAGAAGATACACATATGTACAGAAAAAAAAAATTAGTTGAATTTTGTAAAAGTATTATACCATTCCAACCTCCTGGTCCAGCGTGAGATGCCCATTGATCGTTTGAGTCCGCGCGAGAAATCATGCTGCTCGAAACAATTAGTTAGACATGTTTTATGTTCAAAATTACCTTTATTGATTAGTCAGTGTCATTTTGTTCGAATTATATTAATATAAATTTTATAAAAGATAGAATGAGATGAAATATGATCTACATCTAACCTCTCCCAGTTATTAGAAATATCTCCTGTTGTTCTCCAACTATTTCCAATATCAGCAGCCCAAGTAGCAGGGTCTTCTTCTCCCCTGAAGCGGAAACACTGCTTATTATAGCAATTTAGCATTAATCTTAAAAGGTGATAAACAACAAATTTTTGCTCACCATTCACATAGTGAAAAGAAGATAGGCTTTCCAGAGTTTAATAATGCCTTGCTCATAACTGGATATCTGCTTAGAATTCGGAGAATACGAACTGATTATGATTCTGAAACTCAAGCAGAAGTTGAGAAATTAATAAAATAGAAAACAAATACCTTTCTTTTGGACTTGTACCATCATCATTGCAATTATCATACTTCAAATAGTCAATCCCCTGTGGGTATGCATTTTACTCTGAAATTAAAAAGGCTACAAGGAAATTAAATTTAAGTAAATGAAATAGATAATAATTAAATACCCAAGAAGCAAAGGTTTTTGCATCTTGTTCCTCGTAGCCCAATGATCCTGGCATTGTTTTACTGCATGTCTGCGTCCTTTAATTAGGAAAGGCAATAAGTAATTTTTAATAAAAAAGCTTCCCAGCATGTATGTATATATAACAAAAATTATGAGAAAATAATATTGTGATATTACCGTACTTACCCAGCATCAGAGTAAATCCCAAGCTTTAAGCCTTTGCCATGAACATAATCTGCCAACGCTTTTATTCCAGAGGGAAATGTTGAAGCTTTAGGAACCAAGTTGCCCTGTAATTTATATATTTTATTTATTTCTTTACCAGTAACAGTAAGAAAGTAAACAGACTCCATTTAAGAAATAGAGCAAGTACCTGAGAGTCTCTGTTCAGCTCAGCCCAGCAATCATCTAAAACAGATGGATTCATTAATCCATATATATAAATAAATAAAACACGTGAAAGAACTTTGATGGTCTTTTCCTACCCAAGTTTACGTACTGATAACCAAGTGCAGCAAGTCCCGATGACACCACAGCATCCGCTGCCATCATAAAAACGATCGAGATCATTAAACTAATTTTGATTTCAACGATTCAATTTCTTCAATTTTCTATTTCAAATTACCTGTTTCCCTAATCAGTTTCTCTTCAATCTGACACTGAAAGTGGTTCCAACTATTCCATCTGTCAATCTCATCAACATATGGCTATTTCCCATTAGACACAGTTACAGAGATGAAATGAGTATATATGATGAAATGATATATATATATATATATATATATAATTATATGTAACTGAATAATTAATTATGATATATATATATATATATATATAGTAACTGAATAATTAATTAATGAAGACAAACACTCGAACATTATAGTATAGCACGGTAGAGTACCCCATAGGTGGTGTAAGACCAAGTCCATTTGCCAAGAGATTTCTACGAGAATTGGATTCCATGTCTAATGGGCGAGCAGCAGTAACAGTTGCATCACCATCTAACAGTAAGATGGAGAAGAAAATGCACAACACAACCAGCTCTCTTTGTGTTAGCCACCAACATTTCATAGATGAACAGCCCATCATATAAGCTTAACAGAATCAATTAGAAGAGGAAGTTAAAAGATTAAGATTAAAGGTTTGATAATTGGTGGTGGCAGTGATGAACTATAAAACATGGGAAAGGCAGAGACAGAGTACAGTATATTTATAGAAACTAGAAACTCGAGGTCGGATTTTTCCACATTTGAGGTAATGTACAGCTATGCAAAACCCATCATTTCCTTTCACATTTTCAAAGCCATGATTTTTATAATTGTTTATGCATTAATTTAAGCAAGCATTCCCTGTCAAATGCACCAGCACCAACCAACAAATTAAATTACCCAGCAAGTGTGCAGTGAATGGACATACTTTTGTGTTTGTATTTGAGTTCTTGTTTTTTCAGACCTCTTGCATTGCAGACAGACATTAGATGACCAAATTATTAGTCCACTGACAATTGAGTTGGAGTATTACAATGTTAAAATATTATAACAGGCGTGGCAAAGAAAAAAAAAAAAAACAGGAAAGCTTGTGGACTAGGAAAATTTAATTGGACAAGAGGCGTATCAGAAGGAACAAATGTGACATTTTACATGGATAAATGTACATGTAAGAGTGCACTCATAAATGATGCTGACATAAAAATAACTCTCACAATTTTAATATATTTTTTTTCTATTTACCTTCATTGTATATATCTATACACCAATCAAATCTAATAAAATTATTTATATCGAAAATAATAAAGCAATAATAAAGTATAACAGTCGTTTTCTATATTAAGTGTAAGCAAATATTAAGATGACAGTACATCATAAACCCAATATTTCTGCAATGAGTTGTCAATAAATAGTAGTAACAGTAATGGAAAATGCCATTCGTCGTTTAGGCCTTTATGTATCGGAGTATTTGGGCCACCGATCCATCATCGCCTCCTAATTGGGTTTGACAAGCCCGGAATTGGGTTTGGAGAGGAACAGAGTCCAACAACGCAATAACGTGCGTTTCGATTGAAGAATCAGAAAACTATTTCATTTGCAGCGTCTCTCTCAGTTCTTCGTACTGGTCGCCACCGGTTGCCAGATTGAACCAAAATAAAAGAAAGAAGGTACTCTTTTTTCTTTTTCTTAATTTATATATTATTCTTTGTTTTATATGTGAAAAGTGAAACGAAGTATCGATTGCTCATCAACTAGCTGAATTACCATTTAAAGTTTGAATTCTTCAATTTGTTATAGTAATGGATGAAATTTTCGTACAATCTTCTTCCAAGCAGCAGGCTTAAATGTTGGTCGAATTGAGATGCATCCCTTTTTGCCTGAGCTCATCTCAGCAGCCCCGTCGTTCGAATTATCTTTCCAGACAGATAATAGCAATCGGAAATATAAAACAGGCTCGCATTGCAAGGCCTCAAATATTGCCTTCCTCTTTAGGAGATGGTTTTGGCTTTCGGGTTTTTGTTGTTTCTGACTTACACACTGACTACCCTGAGAACATGGCGTGGGTCAAGTGCTTGTCGTCTGAAAAGCACAAGAAAGATGTTCTTCTTGTTGCTGGTGATGTAGCCGAGACATACGGCAACTTTTTGTTCACTATGTCCCTTTTCAAGGATAAATTTCAACATGTATTTTATGTTCCTGGGAACCATGATCTCTGGTGTCGCTCTGAGCAAGACCATTGTGTAAGAATCATTATCTTAGCTTTTTATATGGTAATCCATCTTTTCAGCTGATAAAAATTTTCATTTGAATCCATAATGCCAACTGTTTTTCCAGCTTGATTCTCTTGAAAAGCTGAATAAATTGCTTGATGCATGTAGAGGACTTGGAGTTGAGACCAAACCGATGGTTATGGATGACTTGGGAATCATACCTCTGTTTTCTTGGTACCATGAGGTGATTGGTCTATAATTCTCTACTGTTTATCCTATTTTTAGTAATCAGATCAATATTCTCGAAAAGCTGATTGATTTAATGATTAATTTGCACTTCGTCATGTTCTGAATCCACATTCTCAGAGTTTTGATACAGAGGAGGACGTCATTGGCATCCGAATTCCGTCCTTGGAGATGGTGATTCACTTTCTTCTCTTCTTGTAAGGGTTTGAAAAACCTTTTGGTTCCAGTGAACATTGCTTGCATGTACGATTGACATCATTAATAATGTTTCACATGTTTTCCTATGCTGCAAATAAGACCTGTTCTCTTTTTATTATAGCTCTAACCTAGTCTCATTGCTCCATGGCCTGAAAATTCTATCCATAGGCATGCAAGGACTTTCATGCATGCAAGTGGCCAAAGGAACTTTCAAGCAGAGATACCTCTCTTGCTCTCTATTTTGATTCGATGAATGAAGAAAATGGGGAAAAAATCAAGGTCATCCAGAAGAAGTGTAGCCAAATAATTACATTCTCTCACTTTGTTCCCAGGTCAGTCACTCTAAAACTACTTGCCTATATCTCATTGATTAAATTACCTGTTCTTACTTAAGCTGCTGAATTTTGAGATTTGATGATTACAGAATTTCTAGTTTTCTTAAGTTGACTGACTAATTGTAGTTGTTTACAGTACTTTTCAATGGTTATAAACCTTGCCTTGTGTATTTCATTTGTTTTCTCATGGTAATTGTAGTATTCACCCACAGCTGTTTAACTTTCTTTACAAAAATTTTACTGAAAAAGTGCTTTTACTTTCATTTTCTTAAAAACCAATTTGGTAATTCTTTTTTTTTTTTTTTTTTTTTTTTTTTTTTTTTTTTTTTTTTTTTTTTTTTTTTTTTTTTTTTTTTTTGTTCCCTGAGCTCGATAAAGTTCTGTTGGTGAAATTCCCCATGCTTGGTTCTTGACAATATTTTTTGGTCTGTTGTGCATATCTGGGAAAAGTGCCTCGTCCATATTAAGCTCTGGAACTTATAACCTTAAAATCTTCCAAGCAGCCACTACTTGATTTTTGGATACTTGTTTTCCTTTCTCTCTTTTTATTCTTTTTTTTTTTTTTTTTTTTTTTTTTTTTTTTTTTTTTTTTTTTTTTTTTGTTCCCTGAGCTCATAAAGTTCTGTTGGTGAAATCCCCATGCTTTGTCTTGACAATATTTTTGGTCTGTTGTGCATATCTTGGGAAAAGTGCCTCGTCCATATAACTCTGGAACTTATAACTTAAATCTTCCCAAGCAGCCACTACTTGATTTTTGGATACTTGTTTTCCTTTCTCTCTTTTTTTTCTGTTCTTTTATTTATTTTTTTTTTTTTTTGAGTCAACCGATAATGCATTGAATTGCTCTTGCACCAGCCAGAAGAACTGAAGTCTTCTGATGTATTATTTGAATTATATTATTATTTGCAATGATATATAGAAGTTTCTCAAAGGACTTCTGCTTCGTGGTCATAAGCATATTCCTCATCAGTCCTAGTCCTAATTGTACTTGGTAATACTATGTTGCTTTTTTGTTCTGTACTTTCTTGTCAGGATTACATCTCTGAGCATCAGCTAAACTGGTGTAAGGTCATACTTTATGAAACAATCCTGAAATGGGAAAAAAATAGAAAGACATATGAGATGTACATCAATTCTATGTTTGAAAAACAAAAAAGATGCATAAGGTGGTGGTAAATGGAATTAAGTCCGCATATATCAGTTTATGTGTAATTGCTCCATTGGAATTTTCTTGTTAGAGATATACTTCAAATGAGCATCTTCCTTCGGTTTGTAAGTAATTTATATTGGCTACCCATTAAAAATGTGATCCTTGACTTCTGACCATATATCTATCTATTTCTTCGCATGTATGAGTGTTTCAAATTCCTTCCTTCTGATTGTTAGAAAAATATTTGAAGAAAGGTTAAGATAATACAAAAAGAAGCATAATATATTGTCCTCAAAACGAAGGAAAAGAAAATTTTAATTTCCTGCTAATACAGAATAGCTTGCTGCTCCCTTTGCGTATGAACTTCACATGTTATTTACTTATTAAAAGGCGTCATATCATAAAATCCCCACTTTTCTAGAAGTCATTAAAATTAAAATTATGTTGATTAAGTAAAAATAAGTCAGAATTGAAACCCAATGAACATTGTATACAAGAACAATGTCAAATTGTATATAGTTCCTTATTGCTTACTATCCATTGGATGTCTGATTATCAATTATCTTTTCTTATTCCAGGCAAGAGCTATGTCCTGAGAAGAGGATGTTGTTCTATCCAAACCTCCCAAAAATCATTGGTTCTGATTGTCTCGAGGTTCGTTTAAGGTCAATACATGGAACTAAGGGGAATGCATCTGCGTGCCATGTATTTGGTCATACTCATTTCTGTTGGGATGCTATGCTTGATGGTATCAGGTAAATATATCTTCTTGTTATATAACTATTTACCAAATACATAATATAAGTACCCATATAGTTTGTGTGCAAGAAAAACAATATAAAATGAACTTTACTTTTTAAGTTAGGCACAAGCTTCAAGACAGGTGTATAAAATGAACTATACATATTAAATTCAGCTTGTTAAATTGCTCTTTCAAACTCAATCACTAACGATATCAACAAATCCTGAGTACAAATTTAATTTCATTATATGGATAAACAAAATTTGAAATATTTCTAAACTTAGTCTTTATATTTATGATCAACTTACTTATTGCATGAATAGTTTCCTGTTTGAAATTGATTCTAGTACAACCTGCATGTTTCTACCATACAAGGTGAATAACTATGATTTGGTGGGCTGTTTTAAGAGTCTTATGCTGGATTCCACTTCTTTAGTTTGAGTATTAGGATTTGACTTCTTTACATGTTGAGACATGTTTGCTTGTGAATGGTCGTTGGAATTAGACCAAGATAATTAGAGTATTAGAACAAAGCCTTCTGGACTCAAATGTGTTTAGCTCCGCGGAATGATATGCCATATCATGTAGTACGGACTTGCTGGTTTTGCATGGAAGGTGCAATTGATGCAGAAAGTAACCATGAGATATTGGAGGGCTAATGTATTTGGAGTCGGTATTTTTAGCTCGATAGGTGGAGTGGGATTATGATCTTTTGACATTTTTACCCAGGCATGTTTCATGCAGTCTTCGTCTTTTCTTTTCTTCATTGTTTTTCTTTGATGAATCAATTCCATTCATTCATCTAGGGATATCCAATTCCCATTAGCGAAGTATGTTTTTAACAGGAAGCTATAGGATTGTTGATTATCAAAATGATTGTATGCGTCCATACCACCATTGTAGTCGTTTAAGGCGATTATTTTGTGTTAAAAATATAAATTGACTTGAATATTTTAAGGATTACCCTTATTTATATTATATACAATAATTTACAATAATTATTTTCACAAATTGATTTTGAAATAAAAAGTAATCTGATGAGATTAATCTTAGTTTTATTATAAATAGGCAAATTAATTATTTTCTTAACTCCCATGCAAAAACCTTAACTTATATTTTGAGATAAAAGAGGATAAACCTAAGTTGTCAATGATATGGATAAGTTAATTTTGTACCTTAAGCAAATTGCAGTGATATTCTTCTTAATAAATTCATCCGGTTTGTAGAGTGTTGCTATTAACTAGGACGTGTTTTTGGCGCCCTGTACATTTCTTTGTCTTCACTGCAATTTCAGCTAGATAGGACTGTATTTCATTTAGAACAACTGAAGAAACCAGTTGCCAGAACTTCAAAAATGGTCTGGTAATTGCAGATGTTGTTTTTGAAGCATGGATGTGTCTCGGTGAACCTTAAAAACTCATAATCTTATTTGTGTGATGCAGATACGTACAAGCACCATTAGCTTACCCTAGAGAAAGAAAGAGGAGGATGAATGGGGGTGAAACTTGGCTTCCGTTTGGTATATATTCCGATGGGAAATTCGCTGAAAGACTCTCACCGTGTTATTGGTCTGATTACTATGCGACCAACCCAAGAGCACCCCATAACACTGAACTTGCTCCCTGGGTTGCCAGACTCTATAACCGATGATAGAGTGCACTTTTGTATTTAGATACTATACAAATCAATTTTTTCTATTTATGTTTATCAAATTATGTTACTTGCACAGCTTCCTTATATCTGCCATGTGTAATGGAAGGCCTAAAGGCCACAATTTTATTGCCGACACTATCAGTATGGGATAAAATACAGTGAAACAGAGTCAGACGTACATTTTATTTACTACTATATCCATGACCAAAGCAGCACTTGACAAGACAAGAAACAGAAGAAAGGTAGAAGAAAGCAGAAACACAAGACAAGTATATGAAGAAACAACTAAAGAAAAGAAATCGTTTGTCTAAGCAGAATTAATTAACTTGTAACCAAAGGATTTAGTAGTCTTCAGGAGCCAGAGGCTGATGGGTATGATGTAGTGGCGGCTCTGTTGGGATGACCATGTACTCGTAAATGAGACCAGCCAGGGCTCCTCCAATGAAAGGACCAACCCAGTAAATCCAGTGGTTACTCCATCTCCATCCGACCAGCGCAGGCCCAAATGCTCTTGCTGGATTCATTGCCGCACCATCAAAAGGACCTCCCACTAAAATGTTAGCCCCAACTATTAAACCGATGGCTAGAGGGGCAATGATTCCTAAACTTCCTCTTTTGGGATCAATTGCTGTTGCATAAACTGTGTAAACCAGTCCAAATGTCATTACAATCTCCATTATAAGCCCATGAACCTCTCCAACTCCTGCTGTAACATGAAATCCTTCCGGTCTCTGCACCAAAAATAAATTTTAATTTATTAGAATTCTAAAATGCTGAAAACGGAAAGTTAAATTTATGTATATATTACCATCCCATTAGTGACAAGCCTCAACAAGAGAGAAGCAACAATAGAACCAAGAAGCTGAGCGATCCAGTAATAGAAAGCGCGAACGACCGAAATCCTTCCTCCAACAAGAGCTCCAAGAGTAACAGCCGGATTGACATGGCCACCTGATATGTTGATGCTAGCTGCTACAGCAGCAAACAGTGCCAATGCATGCGCAAGTGCAATCATCACTAGTCCTGAAGCCGGTGGACCTGTTTCCCTATATAATTTCTCTGCACAACACAAAGGAGTTTTTTTATAGCTTGCAAGAAAAATATGGAATGGATTAGCTTTTATTAGATACAAACCCAGAGCAAGGACGGAGCCTTCGCCAGCAAAGACAAAGATGAGAGTGGAGACGAATTCAGCTAATGTGGCTCTGATAGAGTCTGGATGGGTGGCCTCTTCTGTCCTCCCAAATATATATCTTCGAGGAGGCATGGTGTGCTTGAACTGGTAGCTACGTATACGCACTTGCTCTCTTCTTCTTCTACTTCTTCTTCTTCTTCAGTATCTGCTGATTAACTTAGCTCAATCGCTGCAAGTGAACCTCCTGTGAGGATTTCTAAGTTGCTAAGAGCTTAGCTTCTCTTAGCTAAAGAAAACAAAAGAAAGAGAGGAGAGATAGAGAAATGGGATTCTTGCATGGATGAGAAGTGTAGGCGTTAGAGCTTAAATTAGCCAAAGAGGAGTTGGAGCGTTGTGGACACTTGGGAGATGCTAATGCATTAAGCTTGACACGTATTACAATAGCTCTGCTTTTCCTTCCAACTGGATCTGTTTCTATTTTTTTCTTATCCCTTCATTACTTTTCTGATAAGAATGAAATTCAACGTTCAACCTAATCTGATTTAGGAATTGCATGATATTCTCGACACAATAATTTTTAAAATATTATTATTACTATTTGTTATTCAAATTAAAGTAATAATTAAAATTTAAAACATAAACTAAAGGAACATGTTTAGCACTTCATTATTCTGTCACATTAGGCATGTACATGTATCATGTCATGTATGTATATATGTATCAGCATGGTAGTTTAAAATTAACTGAGATTTGTTGATCAAGAACATTCTATCATTGATCTGCTACTGAATATGAAAGAAAGAAGCCTATGGTGATATACAATTAATAGAGGTCTGAATTTTTATTTTTTATATTAACCACACGTATTTCTGGACTAAAACTACATCATACTTGCACCGGATCGACCAACTAAGGGTTCAAGTGCTTCCGTGAATACAGATAAAATCATTAATTAAAGACTTGATTCAACAATCATGTTATTGATTCTGTGAATTTTTATGCTCAATCTCCTGTATCCTTGTTAATACTTCACTGATTTTTGGCCGCTTCTTTGGTGTCACATCAGTACACTGGAGAGCGATCTCTGTAAGTCTCAACATATCATCATGGCCTTCTCTGGATGCCAAGATCTCTATATCTAATATATCAGTAGACCAATCATTGTTAACTACCGTTTTAACCCAATCAGAAAGGTCATCAGCTTTATCCTCGTCATTTTCTGATGATGAAACCCCGTCTGGAATCCTTCCAGTGATTATCTCTAATAATATAATGCCAAAGCAGTAAACATCGGTTTTATGTGACAGCTTTTTCCCTCGACAGAACTCCGGCGACCTGCCAATTGTCAGCTTTTGAGATAATTCCCGACATTGCAGTAATGGCAAGAAGCCGTAGTTTGTTAGCTTGGAACGGTAAATTTGGCCATCTTGATGAATTAGCACGTTAGATGATTTGAGGTTTGCATGAGGCACCTTATGAGAAGGCAAGGATTGGTGAAGGAAAGCCAAAGCCTTTGCTATATCTTTGATTATACACAGTCTTGCTCCCCAATTCAATGGCACTCTTCCACTTCCTCTATTCTCTAATATGTAAGTATAATATAAAAGTATGATGAGAGGCTATATATTTTTAAGATTTTTTAAGAAAAAGGAAGAAAAGAAGATTGAACTGACCATGCAATAGCTCAAATAAACTGCCATTAGGTACAAATTCGTAGACGATCAGCTTTTCCTCTTTGGAATAGTAAAATGAAACAATCTTAACCAGATTTTCGTGCTTCAGGTTTCCTAACAGTTGCATCTGCTGTACAAATTCCTTCCTGCTCAAGCCGGTCATATTTTTCGTTCTCTTAACAGCAACAGCAATACCTGATTCCAAGTTTGCTTTGTAGGTAGCGCCAAGTTTTCCCTTGCCTAACACTTCAGCTGATGCCCTCAGCAAATCATCCAAGTCAAAGACAGGAACATCCCTCTCGAAAAATTCTAATTCCACCCTTCTTTCTGGATCCCCTGTGCTTTCGGAATGTGGCAATTTCCTCTGTGTCCATGCTTCCAAGAAATTTCATTTTTCAAAATTTATGAAAACATTACAATTTGCCATGAATTCTATACTTGATACTGTATAATATTTATAGAGGCTAATTATGTATACTTCAAACTCATGTAAATAAAAACACGTAATACCTGGTGCTGCTGATTCTGCCTGTGGTTCTTTTGCTGTTTCTTTTTCACGCACTTTCTTGTAACAACAAAACAAAACAAACACAACCAATAGAGGAAGTGAAGCTGCAACTGCCGCAATTAAAACAACGATCCAAATTTCAAGTTTCACTTTCTTGTCCTTTGGCGGTGGTATAGGAGAAGCAGAGGGTGAAGCTGTGCATGAGTCTAATAATGGAAAGCCACAGAGATTCGAGTTATGATCGTAGGAGCTCTTAGAGAACTTTCTAAGAACGTCTGTTGGAGGAATAGGGCCTCGAAGATGATTATAAGAAACATTGAAACCTATCAATGTATGCTGATCAAAAGGCGGAATTTGGCCTTCTAAATAGTTCTGTTGAAGCTCCAAGTGTTTGAGATTTGGCAGTTCAATATATTCAGAAGGAATTGAACCAGTGAAACGGTTGTATGAAAGGAAAACAGATTCCAAGTGAACAAGATTTGTAAGATTTGGAAGCTGTCCAGAAACATCATTGTTTGTGAAGCTGAGTTTGGTCAAAAGAGAAATGTTATACAAAAAAGTTGGCGGAAGAGAACCTGTTAGATGGATACCTTCAAGGACTAAGTGAATTACATGCCAATCCGAACACACAATACCAAACCATCTGCTGACATTTGCTTCACAAGGTGGTCCGGTCCAGTTTTTATGCAAATCAGAAGAGGAATTCATAGAATCCCTTAGCTGTAACAGTGCATCGCGTTCTTGAGGCTGATACTCAGCCAAGGTTGACGATGGAAAATGAAGTGCAAAGAACAATATGTTCAGAATTATTAAGTTCATGAGGAAGAAGAGCGAAAGAAAAGAGAGATTAGAGGAATATGTTTGGTGGTTGGAAAGAGATAATATGGGTTGGCTTGGCTTTGCTGTTAGGATTATAGGATTTTGACGAAGTATGCAAGGAAAGCTTAAAAAGATTCGCAGTGCCAGTGAATGGGAAGGTTAGGGAGAAATGCGGAGACCACAAAGAATTTTTATGCTGTGTGACAGCTTTCGATTGATTGAATATTAATTACATTAATCACACATCAATTATTTTTCTCATTGACTGCTGGGCTGATCATGAAGGGAGATGGGATTTAATATATAAATATTTTTATTAGGAAGGATTAACAAAACAACATTAGAAAAAACACAGCAATACCTTCCCATTTACATGTCTCTGTCACTTAAAATTATGTTTCAAATTTCACTTTAAAGACCAGAGTTTTATTGTTGTTTGTAGTTATTTGTCACATTATCTGCTCGAGTAATATAAAGACAAATCAAGAATATTGGTTTTAAATCAATGTTAAAAAGGGTAAATATTAAAGAATTCAATTAAAAAATTCTAATATCAATGGATAAATATTTTAAACCAATTAGAAAATAAAAATATCAGACAAAAAAGATTAATAAAAATTATGTATAAAAAATTAAACGATAAACAAGAACGTATATAACAAATAAAAATAATATGCAATACACGATTTTAAAAATTAGACACGTTATTAAATACTAAATATTGTATCTAAAATGATTCACATTTTACATAATATAAAAAAAATTATATATATTTAAAACAAGTATTCCATATTTTTTTTTATGTAAATTAACTTTATAAATTTTTAAAACTGTCTTGAATTGGAATTGTACATGAATTCTTTTATTTTAACTATTAATATTAAAATAATTATTTCACAAATAGCACAGCCGCAAGAGTACATTTGGTCTATTTGCAAAATATAGTTTAATTATTGGGCCAGACGCACGTTTAAGCCTTGTTCGACAGAAGCAAATCCAAGCGGAATTCTTTTGGTCTTCGGCTTCGTCCAACATCAATCACCGCTTCTATCAACTCAGCGACGTCTCTCGATTCTTCTTTTCTATTGGCAGCGAAAAGCCCATGTTTATGCTCTGTAGTATATAAAAAAATTGTTCCCATGTTCCCTCATCTTGGATTTTCGCTTTGGCAACCACAAATCCGCGATACTGTAATTCATTTTTCCTATAACCCATTGGAACAAGTTACAGCTAGCGGGGCTGTGCGGGTTAATCATATTGAACCTCTATCTGTTTCTATATTGCTCTGTCAGTTCAATTTTGCATCACTTTTGTGCGTGTAAACGCATTATATTTTAGAATTGAAGGTTAAATCTATTGTTTGCGTCAATGTTCCATCTCTGTCGGCATAATTTCAAGATGAAATAGGGATTTTGAATTTGTTATTATTGATGCAGCCGGAAAAACGCAGCGGACTCTATCCAAGATCGAAACAAGTAAAGCAAATTACACAAATCACAAGAACTAACCTGTTATAATATAGATTTACTTATCAGTGTTCTTTTCATATATCTTCAAGTCACCCTGCAGCATTCTGCCGTGTGACCTTAATTGATTTTATGGATCCTATTTTTCTAAATGGATAGAAAAACACAGTACGTCTATTTCTCAAGAAACTACTGCATTTTTTTTTATACTATTTCTAACGCGTGAGTAGCAAACAATAAAATTGAAAAGTTATGTTACTCTCATGCGGTTGATATTTTAAATAAATAGATTATCCTTTTTAATTAAAAAATTAATAAATAAAATTTTAATTAAAACATTAATCTATTAATTATTTAAAATATATAATTCATCCAAATAATTAAAACAAAGTAGAGACCACAGGAATAAATTAATAAGACTATAAATAATAATAATAAGAATCCATACTAAACTAGTATATTCTTATTATAATTAATCATAAATTATTCCATTAAATTATAATAAGAATCCGCATGATATTTCATATTTGTTGACTTCGTAAATAATAATTTAACTTATAGATAACATTATAAATATTATATTGACATTATCATGTACATGTAATTATATAATAAATCATAATAGTATCTGTGTAGTTTGATAATGTTATTTGTCAAACTATTTGTTATCACACAAATCCATATATTTTTTAAATATAATTTATTATAACTTTATTATAAAATTTTCAAATATAATTTTATTATTAACCTATAGTAATTTTAAAATATTTTTTAATCCAATATAATTAAAACAAAGTAGAGGACCACAGGATAAAATTAATAAGACTATAAATAATAATAAAAGAAATCCATTACTAAACTATTTATATTCTTATTATAATTAATCATAAATTATTCCCATTTAAATTATAATAAAAGAATCCGCATGATATTTCATCATTTGTTTGACTCGTAAATAATAATTTAACTTTATAGATTAACGATTATAATATTATATTGACATTATCATGTTACCATGTTTAATTATATCAATTAATCATAATAGTATCTGTTGTAGTTGATATGTTATTTGTCAAAACTATTTGTTATCACACAAATCCATTATATATTTTAAAATATAATTTTATTATAACTTTATCTATAAAACTTTTTCAAATATAATATTTATATTAACCTATAGTAATTTTAAAAATATTATTTTAAAATTAAAAATACAATAATTAATAAATTATTTAATGAAAAATTAATTTTCTTCATCATTAATTTATTATTTAAATAATCACCAAATATAATTTATATTCATAATTAATTGAAAAAATAAATACATGATATACTATATATACAATAAGAAACTTTTTTTATTTATACTAAGCAAAATTTAATATTTTGTCTATTTATAAAGTTTTTTTAATGTGAATAAAAGCAAGATAAGAGTTTTTGTTATTGTAATCTATTATATATATAATATTTCTCAAATGAAAATAGGCAATTTATATAAATAAAATTCAAATTAATTTTTATTAATTTTTTATTTTTGAAATTTTAATTTGAGTCAATTTAGACAAAAAAGAGTCAAAAAAATATAAATTTATATAGATATTATTCTTGAGTTTAAATATTCTTGAGTTTTAAATAAGATATCAAATATTATTGTTGAGTTTAAATAAGATATCAAATATTATTGTTTTATTGATCGGACTAATAATAGAATAAATAAATATTATTTTAAAAATATTATTGGTAGAGCTTTATATAAGTTTATAATATTAATCTTTAATTACTTGAGAAAATTATTATGGAGATTTAATAATTAATATTTGATTGATAATTGTTTATTATAAATACAAATATGAATAGTATTTAATGTTATCAATAATATGTATGCACGTAAACCACCAAAATTTTCAATTTCTAAAAATTTCTACGTTATGAGAGAATATATATGGCATTTATTGATTAATTGGATTAAAAAATAAAAGAAAATATGAAAATAAATCAAATTAATGAAAAAAGTCTTTTTTACATAAATCAACGGCAAATCAATTTTATATATTACAAAATTAACTATTCAAATTATTTATAATTATGCTTTTAAAAAAATGCATGGAGTCATATTAAATTTTGCTTATATAAATAAAAAAAAATTAATTTAAGAAATTTTAAATGATTTTAAATTGAATTAATTATTTAAGTTATAGCAAGAAGAGAGTGAGAGGAATAATAAAAGGGTAAAGTTTTTGGAAAGGCTATTTTATTTATCTGTCGGTGCTACAATGTGGGCAAGAGCCTTCTAGGTTTATTCAACCTCTGGTTTTGCTTAACGAATTTAACTATTCAAATTATTTATAATTATGCTTTTAAAAAAATGCATGGAGTCATATTAAATTTTGCTTATATAAATAAAAAAAAATTAATTTAAGAAATTTTAAATGAATAATTATTTAAGTTATAGCAAGAATGTAATTAAAGAATAATAAAAGGGTAAAGTTTTGAAAGGCTATTTTATTATATGTCGGTGCTACAATGTGGCAAGAGCCTTCTAGTTTATTCAACTCTGTTTTGCTTAACAATGTTCTTCATCTAGGCTTTTCACGTAGCTTCTAGTTAGATTTATTTTATTTTATTTTATTTTATTATTTTAACAAAATAGATAAAAATCTTGTGTTTTTTAAAACTTTTTTTAGAAAATATATTCCCAAATATTGGTGAAATATTATTTAGTCCTTTAATTAGAATTTGTGTTTTAAAAATTAATATAATGGTCCTTTTATTTCAATTCCATCTAAAAATTACCTACAGCTGAGGATTTTATTAAAATCAAATAAATTATCGCCAATTGAATATAATTAATTTTGAAAAATTAAAAATTATTACACCCGTAACTTAATATTGAAGTGCTAACCTTTAACTACAAATTACCAAAATACCAACAAATTTACATAAATTTACATAACCTTGATTATTGGCTAATTTTTATAATTATCAATGAAAACTTCCTCAAAATAAAGATACTAATGAATATGATATTTATAAATTTAAAATATACTCAAATTTATGTTTGAGATCTAAGTTTTTATTGGGCCAGAAGGCCCACAAATATAATTGGGTACGACAGGAAAGAGCCCTTTAAATGCGTCCTCCTCTTGACACTTCTCCCCTCCTTTGTTCCTCCGACTTAATTTTCAGTATCAAGAGAGGTGAGTCAAAACCCTAACCATCCCCGTCGGCGCAGGTTAGTCATTTGATTCCATTATTTCCTCTTAATTCGATGCCATTATTCAGATTTTCTTAACGTTCTCATCCTGTCGCTTTTGTAGGTTTTTCTCTTATTAAAGCTATTATTTTCTTCCAAGTAGCTTAGGTTAAATCCTTAATTATTTTTTTTTTTCGCATTTCGGTAATAGAGAACGCGATTACATAACCCATTGGGATTAAAAATTTGGAGTGTAATAACTGGCAAAATCCATTTCATTTTATTATTTGTAGTTAGAACGCACGAAACGTGGTCTATTAGTCATATGCAGGTACTTGGGAGTGTTTGTATTGAGGTTTTCTGTGTGTGTGTGTAAGAATACTATGCTGTTTCAATTGAAGTACTAGTGATTTTGATGGTATAAATGCTTGATAGGACGACAGGCGTGGTGTTACGTTTTGAGAATCTCTATAACGTAAGGATTTCCCACCAGGTATATTTTATTTGGCATCTTTGGTATATTTCTTTGTGTTTTTCTTTTCCTGCTATCCATTCTAAGATTTTTTTTCTGGTCCTCGACTGTTGAAGTAATTAATAAGGTTTCAAAGTGAAGGATGTGATTCCTTATGGGATTTTTTTGTCGCATTACATTATTGCTTTTGTTCATCTTGTGTTTTAAAACATTTCAATTTTTTTATAGGAAATCCTGTTTCTTTTTGGTTATGTAATGCAATAATTAAAAAATAAACTCATAAAAATTTAATTTTTCAAAGATTACCTTCAGTGTCAGCAACACATTGGCAATGGCGAAGAATTAGATGAAATCTCAGTAGGTGAGATAAAAGTTAAACTATTTGTAATGAAAGACTTAGTACGATCTTAGAATGCCAAAGTGCATTTTTTTTTTGGTTGGTTTGTCCCGGCCCCTCTCTCTTTTAAAAATGGGTTTTTTCGTCCTCTTCTCTACTGTAATTGGATTTGTGGGTGTAACATGGCATAGTAGCTAAGCCCATTATCAGAAGCACAAATCGTTTTACGTTAAAGAATATAGTTTGTCTTGGCTTTTTTACCCTAGGTAAACCATTTAACTAGAAAGTTATAGGAAGCCTATTAGTTAACAATCATAATATTTTTTCTTGTGATGGACAACTTTATCTCAAGTATTTTTATGTTTTTGATTTCATTTTTCTTTCAAAAAATTTATAGAGATGAGACTTCTGTGCAATCCTCACCGGTGCTTAAACAGCATAAAATTGCTTTAAGTTGATTTTGTTACAGATTTAGATGTGTTTCTTAAAAGGTTCAGAATTTTGCATATTTTGATGTTATACGTGTTTTTGTGGAATTCCACTATTTTATGTTGATTCATTGGCACTTCCTTTCCATGATGAATAATATGCTGAGGCCGTGTTATTGGCAATCATTTTGCGTGGTCCTGGTCCAAAAAAGATGGTTCTTGGATGACCCCTTCTCCATATGTCTGTCTGTTGTAGTGAATTGGATCATCGCAAATCATTGACCATGGTTGCCTGTTCATTTTTTTTCTATTTGCTCTAAGTAGTTTGGTTGATGCATTCTTGCTATAAAATAAGTAAACTCAAAAGACAGCGCCATATTGTGAGAATTCATGTTGTAAGATATTTACTCAAGAAAACACTTGTGCAAAGTATGATTATTATCCTTGAGTGTAGGATTAGGCTAATAAAGTTCAGATTATTTTTTGAACTTGATCAGGGAAGTAGGAGCCGGTCCATAGGCTTATAGTTATGTAAGATCTTGAACAAACTTTGGACAGTTATTTTGGAGACATGATTAGATAAGAGTCCACTCTCGATTCTGTAGATGGTCAGTTTCAACACTGGAGTTTCTTGTTTGTTTGATCTTTTCATTGCGAGATATATTCATGTCCCAATTAATTGATTAAAATTCTTCCAATTAATATGTGAAAAGCTGCAGAAGCTGGCTTTTTTGCCTTGCAAAAACACTATTTAGTCTTCAACTATGTACATATTTTTTTTCAATAGCTATTGCTTTTTTTTTTTTTTTCTGATTATTGGATAACAATTGAATGAGAAATAAAGAACTAATATTTTGGTTGTATGGTCAGATTTGCAGGTTATAGGCAACAGCAGAAAATAGGACCTTGAAGCATGGCCAAGCATCATCCTGATTTAATTATGTGCCGGAAGCAGCCAGGAATTGCCATTGGGCGACTCTGTGAGAAAGATGATGGGAAATGCGTGATATGTGATTCTTATGTGCGTCCTTGCACTCTTGTGCGAATTTGTGATGAGTGCAACTATGGATCCTTCCAAGGGCGATGTGTTATCTGTGGAGGAGTTGGTATCTCAGATGCCTACTATTGCAAAGAATGCACACAACAGGAGAAAGATAGGGATGGGTGTCCAAAAATTGTTAATTTAGGGAGTGCCAAAACAGATCTGTTCTACGAACGCAAGAAATATGGTTTTAAGAAAAGATGATAAGGTAAGCTGTGGGTCACTTCTGTTGTGCTTTATGTCTTCTGTCTTACTCCTCGCTACTGTACTTTGAAAAATCCAATCTAAAACTATTCTAAACATTATTATGTTTAGTTGTTACCTAATATATGATGGTATTAGTTTGCATGAAAGGTTGTGTTTGCTCATAACATTGTAGACTGAATGAACTATATTAGAGCCTTATATATTTTGCATGAAAAGGATTGTGTTTGCTCATAACATGTAGACTGAATGAACTATATTAGGCCTTATATATTATTAGTATATATATTAGTATAGTATATAATAGTATTATTATGTATATATAAACTCAAATAACTAAATGGTTGCATATAAACTCAATACTAAATAGTTGCCAATAATTTGATGGATGGATCTTTGTACTTGGAATTCCAGCACTTGCTGTTTTTTATTATCTGAAGTTTCTACCTATAGATTTAAGGAGGTTCTTGACAGTTAGTTACTTGTTGGATATAGTTTTGGTCCTCCTGGAAAACCGAAACTAAGATGGATGTGTACTGCATTAGAAGGCAAGCCCTCCCTTTTTAACATGTTTATGATGAACAGTTTATTTTGGATATATTTCCTCGTTAGCAAAAGACCTAATAGTATGTATGAACATTTTGGAAACTGAGATGAACATTTTGAATCATGAAATTTTCATCAAGCAGTTCGTAGATTATACTATGACAGGGACAGTGACCGGCACCTAATAGAGTTTTTGTTACATTGATTGGTGGAAAAAAGGATTTTTATTTTTTAGTGAAAAAAATAGGGGTTGAAGTATTGTTGATGTGATGTTTGGTCTTCCTTTGAGATTGTTCTATTACATTTATTTATGACTGACATTTATAAATTCATTCCTATATATAAAACTCCTTTTTTAGGATAATTATATCGGGCCGAAGCGCGACAATATGATAAGTATGTCGGGTCTATTTGCAGTGTATATGAAGACGCGCGCGATCCTTCTTCCTGCCTCTGTTCAAGAAAAACTCAACTCAAACACCCTCACTATCCATCACCACCAAAGTTCACCACCACCATCCTTCTTCCTGCCTCTGTTCAAGAAAAACTCAACTCAAACACCCTCACTATCCATCACCACCAAAGTTCACCACCACCATCCTTCTTCCTGCCTCTGTTCAAGAAAAACTCAACTCAAACACCCTCACTATCCATCACCACCAAAGTTCACCACCACCATCCTTCTTCCTGCCTCTGTTCAAGAAAAACTCAACTCAAACACCCTCACTATCCATCACCACCAAAGTTCACCACCACCATCCTTCTTCCTGCCTCTGTTCAAGAAAAACTCAACTCAAACACCCTCACTATCCATCACCACCAAAGTTCACCACCACCATCCTTCTTCCTGCCTCTGTTCAAGAAAAACTCAACTCAAACACCCTCACTATCCATCACCACCAAAGTTCACCACCACCATCCTTCTTCCTGCCTCTGTTCAAGAAAAATCCAAACTCGGACACCCTCTGTCCATCAACCACCACCATCATATTTGTCCTCTGCAAAAATAAAAAGAAAAAAAAAAAATCTCTAACCACCACCCCCGCCACCATTTCTCTCCCTCAGCCATGCCTTGACATCGCATCAATTGAAACAAAATTAATAATTTATTGTGAAATTATAAAAGATGATAACAATTTGCTTTTCTAGGTAAAAATGGCAAATCATCATAGATTTATATATAAATTCCAAAACCCAAAGTCAAATCAGAGACTTATATAGCTCCACATGGGAAAATAAAGAAATTAAAGACATGGAAAAATCAAGAAATTAGAGTGATGGAGGAGAGGATGCAGTAGCAGTGGTGGTGGAGAGGAGGCAGATGCAGCGTGATTTGTAAATTTTAACTATTTAATTAACTTTTTATTATCCTTTTCTTTTCTTTATTATACTCCTCTTTCAATTGGTATACGCTCAGATACGGTTTTTTTAAGATGCCCACCCCAAATATTAAATATTCGCCATGCCATCTATCATTGTCCTATTCTTTTTAATCAACACACAAATGTATAACACCTTTTGACTTTTAAAATTATAAAACTGCATTTAATGAGTATTTTAACTTAAAATAATTTATTGAATAGTTTAACTTGTGAAATTAGATTGATTAAATATTTATTAGATGTATTTAAAAAATGTGAATTATTATCCTAAAAATTATATTAATTCACCAAATTGACATTTTAAATCTAAAAGCTTAAAAGGTCAAAATTTGATTGACATATTAGTTCGCTGTGCAAAATTTGAGATAGGTAGCACAATTTTTTTCATAAGGGTGTAATTAGAGGTCAAAGAGATGTTGATGTGATGTTTTGTCTTCCTTTTGACATTGTTCTATTATATTTGTTTATGCCTAAGGAGTGGGTAACATCCCTAGACTAGGGATGTTCATATGTTTTTTAACCATGGTTTTTTAAAAATTGATAGTTAGTTTGGTTTTATTTGTACAATCATCTGTATTGGTTTGATTATGATTTGATGGTTAAAATCATCAACTCGAACTTAATCAAATTGAAAATATCAAATACTAATAATTTTTTTTTTCTTATCATAATTTGCATTTGTTTATATAATAAAATAAGTTAAGGTACACTAAAATATAGGGCAGTGGTAATACATTATGATCTGACAATAAATTTATATTTAAATTTCCCTTCTCCAATACTCAGAAGAAAAAATTGAGGGATAATTTCAATATAAGGATTAACGTATTAGAATATCATAAACTTTACAATTTTTGTAATTTCACCGTACTTTAACTTTTCTCTCAATTTTTAAATTTTATAACAATTACATCCTAAATTACTATTAAGAGTTATCATCTTTTTTTAAGATATTACCTTAAAAGGTTGAAATGAATTTCCATCTTAGGGAGTACCTTTCTTAATTCATTTAGTTAATAAGAGAAAAACATGAACAATTTTAATTTCTCTATTTTCCTATCTCTAAATTGCTTCTCTATTTGAAATTTTGATGATTTGATTTTAATATTTTTCAATTTTTCACTTTAAATTTGATTTAATTATTACTTCAAATCGAACTAAACCGACACGCAAACAACCAAGTAGAAACAACTCTCGAGACCACAGTCACGGCACCTGAACAAATACGCTTGCAAAAGGGTAAAAGTTGACTCAAAAGAGACGTGTAAACATGTCAAATGGCTTGCACGATGTTTAGAAGTCAACTCTCACGCTGCAAATAGCTATCTTCCACGTGGAACTGGAGCAAAATTCGGTGCCCTGACCGGCCAATAAATACTAAATAGGATGGTGAAGTGAAACACTAAGTGGTTTTCGTTTTCCATTTTCATTTTCAACGCGTTATCATCATCAATTCCAGATAAAGAAATGGGTTGCAGAGTTGGGATTTATCTGTATCTTCTTATCTTGCTTCTTGTGTTTGCTGCTGTGATATGTTCTGCTCGTAACACCATTCTCGTCTCAGCCTCAGGTACAGATCTTTGCGTTTGTTCTGGAAACTTTCAGTTCAAAACATATTTGCTAACTCATTCTATATGCATATATATATATTCAACTAATTAACCAGGATAATCATATATACATGTTAATTAGTTTTGATTTGGTAATTGCTAGCTCCATATAGATTCAACCAATGCTGGAATGGGTTACTGACTGTTGTTCACACAAAATTATTGTAAGCTTCAAGGTGTTTCTCCGCGTTTGCTCTATAAAACAATTAATATTAGCATTTTTAGAATATACGTAGAGCAGGCAGATGCATTGTACAGTGTGTGATACAGGCCCAGATACAGATACAAATTACTAATTTATTATCTTATATTTCAAGATGAAGATTCGTTTTTGGAAATTAGAGATATCAATTGGTAAAAGAACTCAGTGATATGTTTTCTTTGCATGCATAGATTAATATGATCATAAACTATTTATTTATGCTGTTTTTGATATCAAAAGAGAGCATATATTATACTAAATTCAAAACAACTAGCTACAAGCAATTTTAATGAGGAGAAAGCCATGAACTTTTAAGAAGTGTATGAAAATAATAAAATGGTGTGAGCCCTTGCAGGAAGATCTTTGAAGATGTCGCTTGACGACTACCATGGGCCGAAGGCAAATAGCGGGCACGATCCAGCCGGGTAGCCGTCAAGTAAGAGTAAGAAAGAAGGTGGCAACCGTGGTGCTAAGAAAGGCTAGAGACATTTCATGTCATATATCGTTGCTTACCAGTTATATGTGACATATATATTATAATTTAACTTCATAAATAATGTTAATTTCGTGTTATCCATGCAAGTCCTTTTGTTTAATAATGTGATTATCTGTCAATTAATTAATATACGCCAAAAATATATAATTATAATTAGAATATGCCACACAATATATAATTAAATAGTTAAGGATGGAGTATGTTGAACCAATCTCTCCTTAGACCAAACAAGTTAATCAAGCAGCTATGATAATCAGCCGAATCAAACAACCCTTTATGTGTTTTATCATAACGTACCAAAAAAAAAAAAAAAAAAAAAAAAAAAAAAAAAAAAAAAAAAAAAAAAAAAAAAAAAAAAAAAAAAAAAAAAAAAAAACAGAGACTTCAAGAGCTGGTTGAATGAATAGAAACATTCAAAATAGGCTTGGGCCATAGCCCGAAATCTATGGATGAAGCCCAGCTCAATAAAATTTTTGCAATAAAAATGGATTCAGAACTTGCCCAGAGCAAGTCAAAACAACTGCCACGTTATTCATTGCTGCGCTGACTCATCACCAGAATGTCCGTCAAAATTGGAATGCTAGGCCAAATTTTTATACTTTTCGACTTCCATAGAAGACAACAAACTACAAGCTGTACTTTGTGTTGGGATATGGGGTGGACTGTTTGATAGATAGATCTTTGATCCTCTTCCATCTCTAGAATTGGATAAAACACCATGGCTTGGTTTGGAAAACTTAATCGACTCAGCTTTCAAATCATATCCATCATCTTCATCCATCAGGACCAAACCAACTAATCCCCACTGTTTATTGGCTTCCTTCTCCGCCATTTCACCACCGATGCCAACTCATACACACCCAGCAATACGATTGCCGACGCAGTGCGGGCCTAGAGCCCACAAAGTCCACCGGAGAAGCCCGAAGGGTTGGTGGGTATTAGGATCTGGGTGGGGCTGGCTGCCGCCTCAATGAAAAAGGCATAGATACCGAGTGCTAACGAATGTCGTCTGCGTGTCGCCCGCAATCAACATGGGTTTCATCCTTTACTGGCTTCTACTTGCGTTGGCACCCTCGAGTTCAGGTCCGTGGCCGAGCCAAATTGGCCGCGCATTTCCAGCCTGCAATGTTCTAAGGAGCCCGGCTCCTATACTTTCTTTGCCACTGTAACCGCTCTTGACACTTGTCGTAACCAATGTGGTAATTGTCCTTTTAATTTGGTTGCTGTCCTTTTTTCTTTTTCCTTTTCTTGTTCCGTAGTGTTTGTTTAAAGGTTATATGGCAATATATGGATTGATTCGTTGGGATTTTATTCGTTAATCTCTATTCCGATATTTATTTGTTTGGTCCTTGCAGAAAGCTTAACCTTTTTCCCCTTTCTTTAAAATGATTTTTCCTACTTTGCAATCCAAATTTCTGTCATGGTTAATCCAAGACTTCTTTGAGATTTTTGAATATTGCTTGCATAGTTGATTACTCATAAGAAATTTGGGATTTACATAATGAAGGTGCATTGCGAGACTGTTACTGATAGGATTAAACACCAAAGGATCCGTGGAAGTTTTGCTGCTTTCTTATGACAAGTTGGTAATTTGCATTTAGGAGCAGAGGCCGTCGACATTTGGATCCAAGGTGTCAAAGAACAATGCAATCTTTCTTAGAGAAAGTTCACCATGCTCAGGAAAATTCGGAGAAAGTTACTACTAAACCTGATGCTCTCTGATGTGCCCGGTATGTCACTGCTTTTTAATTTGTGCAATACGTGTTCACAGTTGTAATTGCTTGCAGTTATATTTTACTCTGGGGGATATGGGAATGCGGCAATTTCAGTAGATGAGAGAGAAATTGTTACACTGTGTTGTTGTAGGAGGTGGTCCAACAGGAAGTTTGAGATTCAGTGGTGAACTTAAGTGATTTTATCATGGAGAGACGTTCAACCAGAGATATGCCCATGTCGAAGATTACATCATGTTACATTAATTGAGGTTTGTGGATTAAGATTTTAAATTAAGGTTTCTCTTTATGGTTTATACCTGTTGCAATATTTTGGGTGGAAAATGTATATGATCTCCAATTAGCACACAATTAAGAAGTTTCTTTTTCTCCAAATTCCCATTTCTGAGCTGTCCAACATTGCATTACGGAATACTAACCAAATTGTGCCATATCACAGAGGCCGAAGAGATATTATCATCCTTTGAATGATCGTGCGTCGCTATGCTACTAAGAGTTGGAACCAAGGTTAGAGATGTTTTAATTTGTGCAAAAGTTGCCTATTGGCTTAAGGAAACTGCTCATGATATCAATTATAGTTCTATTGTTAATATAAAAAAAAAAAAAAAATCAATTCCATTTATGTCAAAAAGTTAGGAACTTCTGCTCTAAAATGTATATAGTTTCTATTTTTATTCCAGGCTTGAAGTAAGTCTGTATTAATATCGAAGCATTAGGAATGTATGCCATTGTAGACATGGAGCATATATTTTCCAAGTCTCCTGTAACAAAGACTAAATAAAGACAGAATAACAGCTCTTAATTGTTGATTGTTGGAGAGTTTGGAACCCACTGGCCCTTCACATTATAAAGTGTTTTTCTATTTCCTTTTCCTCAGTAGTGAGTTCGCCTTGTTCGTGAATTGTCAAAGATGTTAAACCTCATAAGCTCATTCTTAACGATGGCAGCGGAAGGTTCCATATGGGTTATTAGTGTGGTCCACTGTGTTGGCCCCTCAACCTTTTGTAAAATCTTTGGACCTTCCATAAACTCTCCTGGTGGAAGGTAAGTTTTCACGTTCTCATGATGTCCATTAAAGCCTTTTTTTTTTTTCCCAAAGTTTTATTTTATTCCTTCTATCTGAAAATTTCTAATATGAATGGAAATCATAAATTGTAAAATCTCGTATGGAAAGTTGGCATACTTTCTGGAATACTTGCAATGGAATGGTCTTTGAAAGTTTGTAATTTTCAATTGTTTAAATGTGAATTTTATCAATGGGGAAAATGAGATGCCTTCATTTTTTGAAATGAGAATCAATCTAAGAATTAAATATGTCTAATCCTATGGGGTTTTGAGAATCTGTATTCTAGTTAGATTTTTCATTTTAAGGTTTGTTCTGTTGGTTTGCCTCGCTATCTGTTATAACTTTTGTCACCAATGGTTTATGTCATTTGCTCTTATTTAACTATTTGAAATGGTGATTGGCCCTCCTCCAATTTTTAACTCAAGTAGCTGGCTTTCTCTATTTCTTTGTACATGATTGATAGTGTTTTCACCGAAGTCAAACAATATTGAGAAGCGCAAATCCCCCCCCCACGCTCCCATTCTTTTGTACTTTTTCCTTTTTTTTTTCTTTTTTTTTTTTTTTCCGATGGGTAATTTCTTTTTGGTGCTAATTCTCATTATTATCTCTCATTCCTGTTTATAGAGTGAGATCCAATATCATGCTTCATGCAATGTTTGAAGAGTTGTTAATTAGGTCCTAATGATTGCCATGTAATCAGCAGGAAATGGTGGTTGAATTGAGGGCTACGAGTCCTTCTGGTGTCAGATTAATTTGCTGGTTGGTGACTTGCAGTGGGTATCTTGAAAAGTACTGGTACAAACAGTCCTTGCCAGCTTTGGCTCAGGTGAAGCCATTATCAATATGAACTGTTTACGTGCTATTTTAACTGATGCCGGCAGCTGAACTTTGGGAAAACTCATTTCAATTAAGGCAGTTGTTATTAAGTGTTCAGCTTTTTCTCATCGATGAAATTTCTTCAAAAATAACATTCAAACTTGGAGGAGGGAGGATTTACTTTTTTGCCTAGTCTTTCATAAAATTGCATGTTTTCCCCTTTTGGAATGATCCTGAAACAGGGTTGCGGAACGGCAAGGAAAATATCTTCAGGTCCTATTGAACAAAATTGGCAAAGCTGGTGGAGGGCAGGCAGAATAAGTGCCTACAAGATATTGAATTGGGGGATCCATTTGTTTTACAAACAATTTGGGAGCATGGCAACTATTGGTAGCTATAAGGCTCTTTGTTGATCTTAGACAAAGCAAAGTAAGTATATCCATGTCATTTCCAGGTTTTTGAGCTCAATTTATGAAGAAAATTGGGCCGACTTATGTAGGGAAGTATTTTCCACAGGAGGCCAAGGGGATATCTCTAGCAGGATTTTTCTCAGGTTGGTTTGTTTGGCGCTCTGCATATCTAACACGTGTAGTTAAGCTGGAGGAATAGATTCTACGTGGCTAATTAAATTGGGCTACAACTTTTGTATTTGGTCGTGATTATTAGCAGAATATAGATCTGAAAAAGAGGTTGCCTCAAAATTCTGGTAGTTGGAAAATTAACTTATTTTCACATCTTAATGTCTCTAAGCGTGCAATCTGATTGCAGTATCAAAATAATGAAAGGCTTTCCTCGAAGGCAGGCTTAGACTCAAAAGTACAAAGTTAAGCACGTTTCTTAATGTCAAATTTTGCATTTTTTTATTTGGTCTTCATACAGCTAGCCATTCAATTTGTTTGTAAAGATCCTTTCCCGTTGCCTGAATGTTTCAAGATTGGATTTATGGCCTTCTTTCTCCTGAAGCAGCGCATTAAAATTACTAAACCCTAAACTTCCTAACATTTATTTCTCAGCTTTGAAAGCATCAAAATTCGGGCAGTCCAATAAAAGATGATAAAGAGATTTCTATGGCAAAAATGAGAATCAGAGGATTGTAAAGCTATCATCTCATGCACAGAAACTCTGCGCACGAGCTAATCTTGTTCTGGCTCATTAAATCTGTTATATTAAATGAAAAAATTCATGGGTTTTTTTTTTTTTTTAATTTCCCAATCCAATACATATATATATGAAAGTATTAGCTATTAATAGCGGCATTGAGGCCAAAGTCAGATTTCGAAGCTCTCAAAAACTAGTTCATACGAGTTATAACTACATTGCAAGTTCAGCAACACTGGTGTCCTTGGCCTCCTACTGATATTTACATTCCAGCAACCCAATAAGCAATCTGCCACAACCAATGTCTCAAGCCTTACACATGGGCAGTAAAACTACATCAAACATATTCGCTATCAGAATTATCCCAGCCCTTCTACCCAACCAGATCTTTTTAATTCAATCCTTCTCCAGGAAATCTCCCCTCCTTGAGTTTAGAGAAAACCTGCAATACAGAAAATGGATGTACCAAATATAATCAAAACGCTGTCATCCAAATAATTTAATACACTAGTTTCAGCAATGATCCTTCAAGGATCTAAGGAATGGGAGGGTTCGAGTTTGAGCACTTCAACAACCATAATAAGTTTTTACTAATTTCAGTGAGTGTTATTAAAAATGAGGGTTATCATCAGTTATTCCCACCAATTTTGACCTCTAAGTGAACAAAAATAAATAAAAAGTTCTCAACAAGACACAAATCAATATTCATAGTGTCAAAGCATCATGAAACAAATTGTGAACACCAAATTCCAACAGGAATAAGATGATCAAATGAACCATGTTTAAGCAAACACTAAACAGATGAATGCCAAGGTAGAGGTTTCTTAACATTCATCATTGCATAAACTTCAAAAGCACCAGACCTTGGTAGAAAAGGATTGGCACTTGCATCTGCCAGAAGCCAAGTGGTTGCCATTGTCCCCAAATTTATTTGCACGGTAAAGAATAATACCAAGGTGGTGTGTCGTAATCCCCAGCAATTGGAAAAAAATCTGTTCCCAGCCATCCACAACTCTATACTCCTAAATCTGAAAACTGGGAGACCATCTTGGCCAACAGAACGCTTAGTAGGGGTGGAGGAATAGTTAGCCACCATAACATGAATTCCAGGAAACTGGGTTTTCCCAAACATCTTGTTCATAGATTACCTGCTGTCCCTACAGCAAGTTAAGAAGAATAACGATCAATGTTGATTCTTCATCCATTTTATATATCAGCAAGCAATAACAAAGCAAGAGTAAGGAAGGATTTTCCCTGCATCCTGCCCCAAATATAGTAAGGATTGCCACAAGTGGACAAATCAAAATGAGGTGATTAATAACATGAAGGCACGGACATCAAAAATAAAAACACTAAAGAAACAGCGAATTTTTTCACAAATTAAGAAGAACATCGCTAAATATCCAACAATCACAATCAGAAGAAACAAATTAACGAATAACAAGGGTTTTTTCCTTTCTTTTTTCAAATACCCCATGATTACTTTCACCGATACTAAATAAAGACAACAACAAAAAACTTCTTAAAGTAGATTTTGCAAAGCATTTACAGCAATTTCGCAAAGTTAGGTTCATCGAAACACTTACGAAAATCCAAAATTGCAGAGGGAAAATTATTATAAACAAAAGAGAAGATTATCACACAGAGGAGCTAAAAACCAATACTTTTACGAGAGGAAAGAAAAAAGTTATATAGAAAGTACCTAGTAAGAGCAGGATGAACAAAAGTCAATCTCTGACCGTATTGCCTACACCAATATTCACCAGTAACTGTTTCCTGCATTGTAGATATATTAGAGCAAAACTTTTACTTCATATTTGACTTCTAAATAAAAAGACATAACTTTTAACCTGCGGAGCAACATCATAGGGTTTCAGGCGTAACCGGTGGTGGCGGAATTATGTGGTGCTGAGGTTTGGTGGTGGTGGTGATGGCGGTGTGGTGGTGGGTGTGGTGGAGGAGGCGGCGGTTTTTAGGAGGCGGTTGGATAAATAGGGTTTGACAAGGTCGGCGCAAAAGAGGAAAAGCCGGTAATTACGAGCAAAGAAGGTCCTGCCCGATCCATTGTCCCAAACAACAAACACGAGAAGTGAAACTGCGGAAGGCCGTATCTGTTTTTCGAAATTTAATGGCTGAGTAGTCTTTTGAATAAGAATGGAAGCTGGTCCAGGTGTAGACTCTAGTCAGCATCTCCTGTTTGGCTGCTTAGACATTCGATACTCTCGCTGCTTGGATCCAGCTTGCCCTTATTCAGGGTGAGCGGAATCTAACACTATCTTTTTAGAGGCATAAAACAAAAGCCATGAAATTAAAATATTTTAAGTAGCTAAATGCTAATTGACTTTAATATAATTTATTTCGAGTTGAGGACAGTTTCGCTGGTTTTGGGATTTGTTGATATTTGACATTTTTCGACCACAAATAACATCTAAACAACGGATGATTAATAAAAAATTTAGCAAAACTAAATTGGGTAAAATATTCATACCGATCCAAATATTGAATATTTGAATATTTTTGAATTCAATTTTAAAGTTGAAATAAATTATTTCCAACAAAGAAAAACATCAACAACAAATATAAATAGAAATCAAAAAAAATAAAAAAAGAAAATAAACAGAAAAAAAAAAAGAAAAAGAAAAAAATAAAAGAAAAGACAGAAAAGAAAAAAAAAAAAAGAAACATTTTATTTTCGGTTTGAGTCTTTTTTACTATAAATCATAAACTAAAATTTACAAATCAAATCAACCGCCTTAATTAACTTTTCAAAACTGATTTTTTGAATTGACTGGGGCACTTGGGTGATAGTTGAATACTCATAGTTTGCATTAGTTTAATTTATTGATTGAGAGCGGGAAGGAATGTGAAAAATGCTGCTTCAACGTATTTATTGATTCCTTTGCAATAAGTTTAATTATTTTATTAATTTGTTTTAACAACAAATTTTAAATGTTATTTCAAACATTTTTAATGTTAATCAATAATTTTTAATAAATTAAATTTTCAATAAGTCCTATAACAATATAAATCTATATTTTTCAAAAAAATTATATTTAATTGATAACAAAAAAAAAAAAAAATTCGTTTTCAAAACATGTAATTATTAAGAATATCCACCCTTATACACGTAAAGGTATGCTTTGAGAATACGTGAGAAAAAAGAAATTGTTCGATGCCTGAATACCGGAAAAATGGGCATGGTTAGATCAAGTAGTGACCGGTTTTCTATATAGCAAACAAGGTGGACGTGATTATTCCATCCTCTCTTTTAGCATACAACTTGGAGTTAAACTAGAATTCTTGTTTTTGAAGCAATGAAACAGTGGAGATTGTAGTGTCCAACGGTGGTGTTGATGAAGGACATTTGATTTTGACTCCAAGTAATCCACCCTCCCTTCACAGATTGCCCAGAGATCCGCAGCTGCATTCCTAACCATTGTTGGGTCAAGAAATCATGGAGGTCTTTGAGCTATGTCTTAAGAGATATTATTATAATTTTTGCATTGGCAGCATCTGCGATATATTGGCAATACATGGGGTTTGGCCAATTCTACTGGGCTCTCAAGGACAATGTCTGGGCTAATCTTTGTTCTTGGCCATGATTGTAAATATTTCTAGTTTTTGCCTTAGAATTTCGTTTGCTTGTTAATTTCTTGGCATTGAAGAAGTTTTTTGGATTTTCAGTGGCCATGGAAAGTTTTTCTGATATCACTGCTAAAATAATATACGTGGCATTTCCTGATTTCTTCCATTCTTGCTACCTTACCATGGATGGTGAGCTTCTAGCTACCTTGCCTTTTAATCTTTTAGTTCTTTCTCTATTTTTGGATTTACAAGTCCTGTTTTCTAACTAAAGTACTCTAAAATTGTGTGGAAGAATAAAATGGATCCATCACCCACTAGGTGTATGTTGGTTGTTTTATCTATTAATTATTTAGGTTAAGCTTTTTAAAGATGGGTGCAGGAGAATTAGCCACAGGACGTCACCAACCAATATCAATGGAAATGTAGAAAAGGATGAAATCTTGGGTTCCGGCAATTTTTCTTTTAATATTTTTTCCTGCTTGGATTATTGTAAGCCTGCAGCAGATTTATAACGACTAGTCCTCCTATCTCTCTTTCAGGTTGCCTTGAAGAAGATCTATAAGGAATTAGATTTAGGTACTCGATTATGAGATACATACTAATACCTCTCCCCATGTTGCATATCCTTTTATCTGGTAATAATACTTTAACGTCGTCTTAAATTCATTAAAAAAGATACATTTTACAACTTCTTTACCATTAAGGTCATTAACAAGGCTTAATTTAGCGCATTTCGTGCTTGGGACTGCATTTATTTTTAAGTGGACAAGAAGTCCAGGCAAAGAAGGTTCACACTTTAATCCTTACAGTGAATTATTTGCCCCACAATGAGAGGAAGATGTTAACTCCAACCATTTGTTTGGACTAAATGATGATCTCCTTCTCCTCTCTATTCATCCTTAGTTTTTGGTCAATGTCCAGAGTGGTTTGAAGGGTCTATGGTGTTCCGTATTTGGTTAGTTTAATTTTCCTCTTCAGTTGTGTTTAGGACTGTGATGTCGAATTGCTGGCTCAGTGTGTGATAGTAGTAAAATGATGTCTTGTGCAGATTTTATTGTTGAGTGGCTGGATTGTCGTTACATATTTACACCCACATGGATTATCGAAACGAAACTTCCCATGGTACCGGAGCAAGGTGCTAACTTTACACCCTGTGTCTAAT